CAAACGTACGTCCCTCCATCTTCACATCCGGCGTCGGTCACCCTGTACAAACTACTGAAACCACCAACCGGATGTTCATGTCGGCCATATTTGTCTTCAAGATTTTCGGTTTTAGTGTTGACTCCATCTTTGTACCATTCGACGATAGGTGGAGGAAATCCATTCACAGAGCATGTGAGTGTAATATTGGCGCCTTCTGTCTCTGTGTAAGAAGTGTTGCCGAACTTCTTGTTTTTCAACGCTATGGAAACATTGGTCGTGGGATCTGAAAAATAAATTGTTTACTACTAGATAGGTTGAACACAATATGTTGTGTTTTTGATTTGAACTTCTGTACGTGATATGGACATCCCATTTTAAAGTTATCGTATTTGGTTCAATCTTGTATGGTGTACTTACACTTCACAAGAAGTTCAATGGTTGTGTTCTCAGATTGAGTCATATCTTCGCTGTGAATGCAGGTATAATTTCCATGATGTGGTATCTCAACTGGTTGGAATAGGAGAGTTCCGTTCCCCCACTGAAATGTGTTGTCGCCGTCCTTCCGCCAGGACACGGTACACGATGAGGAGCATGAGGCGGAACAAGTGACAGAGGCGTCCTCTCCAGCAACAACCTCCCAAAGGTGAAGACCGATTCAGTGTGATCACAGCTGTAAAACATATTGTGGAATTGTTTTTATGTGACGTAAAACCAAACTCACTCACTCACTGTTTATATGGCCATTAATACCATAAAATTATAGTAAGTATAGTAGATCTACCTGTTCTATGCTGCTTAGCCTACTACCATAACGGTTACATCTAACAACATGTACTGTTCGTGCCGCTTCATAATGGTACATTATAGATGAAAGTGATAAATTTGTTTTGTTTACATGAAATATAAGGAAACAAAATATCAACAAGTGTAAAGTCAGAATATTATATCACGCTTCCTCTCAACGTGTGGTTAAAGTGTGTCATATTGACATCAATCTGTTATATCCACGATAAACATATTGATCGCTTCATAATCAGTCTCTGAAATTTGTGCACAAATGCATCAACATAATTAATCGAATAGATTTTAATGTAAATTCGGTCTTACACAATTAACAACAAACGTTAAATATTCTATCAGTTGCTGATACAGGTATCGCATTTATGAACAAATATCGAATCAACATACAAAAAACCCAAACGATCACGTACCTGTTCCCAAGCCAAAAACACCAAGCACAAAAACCTCAGAGAACCAAGACATCTTCATGGCCGTCAATCTGACGGTTGTTTTGGCGGTTTGGGGGAAATAGGAACAGATTGGTTTGATACATTTTGTCAAGGGAAGTATTTGTAAATCGTCAGTGTTTCGCATTTACGGAGCGCAGTAAACAGTTTTATACAGGAAGTATGCACGTTTTTCATGACTACAAAAAGAATGGGCCTGTGTGGTGTAGCAGCTAAGTGTTGATGTACCAGCTATGTGGCGGTGTACCACCAAAGTGTTGATGTATCAGCTAAATGTTGGTGTGCCAGCTAAAGTGTTGATGTATCAGCTAAATGTTGGTGTGCTAACAAAGTGTTGGTGTGCCAGCTAAGTGTTGATGTACCAGCTAAGTGTTGGTGTGCCAGCTAAGTGTTGATGTACCAGCTAAATGTTGGTGTGCTAACTAAGTGTTGGTGTGCCAGCTAAGTGTTGATGTACCAGCTAAGTGTTGGTGTGCCAGCTAAATGTTGGTGTGCTAGCTAAGTGTTGGTGTGCCAGCTAAGTGTTGATGTACCAGCTAAATGTTGGTGTGCTAACTAAGTTGTTGGTTGTGTACCAGCTAAGTGTTGGTGTGCCAGCTAAGTGTTGGTGTGCCAGCTAAATGTTGATGTACCAGCTAAATGTTGGTGTGCTAACTAAGTGTTGGTGTGCCAGCTAAGTGTTGATGTACCAGCTAAGTGTTGGTGTGCTAACTAAGTGTTGGTGTGCCAGCTAAGTGTTGGTGTACCAGCTAAGTGTTGGTGTACCAGCTAAGTGTTGGTGTGCCAGCTAAGTGTTGGTGTGCCAGCTAAGTGTTGGTGTGCCAGCTAAGTGTTGGTGTGCCAGCTAAGTGTTGGTGTGCCAGCTGGTGTGCCAGCTAAGTGTTGGTGTGCCAGCTAAGTGTTGGTGTGCCAGCTAAGTGTTGGTGTGTTGATGCCAGCTAAGTGTTGGTGTGCCAGCTAAATGTTGGTGTGCCAGCTAAGTGTTGGTGTGCCAGTGTGGTGTGCCAGCTAAGTGTTGGTGTGCCAGCTAAGTGTTGGTGTGCCAGCTAAGTGTTGGTGTGCCAGCTAAGTGTTGTGTGTGCCAGCTAAGTTGTGTGCTAAATGTTGGTGTGCTAGCTAAGAAGTGTTGGTGTGCCAGCTAAGTGTTGTACCAGCTGTGTGTGTCAGCTAAGTGTTGTGCTGTGCCCAGCTAAGTAAATAAGCGAGGCTTCTTAAATAAGGCTACATTTGGCAGGAGGGAGTTTCCCAGGTTATAGACTCAATAACTCTCAGTGTAGATTCCCATGACAGTGGGTCTATGGGTCAAGTATAATCCGGAATATTCCAGCAAACAAGTCAGCATTGTATGGCACCTTCTGAAAGGTATTAAACTATTAAGGGACAAGCGTATACCTCTGTATGGCATAATATATATACCCTTAATAGCCAGTTGTGGTCTGGTCTTGGTCACCACTAGGTGTTGTTAGGTGAATTATTGTTATTATGACTGCCTTGAATGCTATTACCAATGCTAGTATATGTTATATTGCCTCTGTGTAGTACTTACATAGTATTTTATCACCGACTTTACTGCTATTACCTATGCTGTTATATGTTACATCGCCGTTGTACTGCCGTTGATGTGATGTGTCTAGGTGAATGAGTGATTGTCAGTACAGGAAAGAGAGAGACCATCGCAGGGTTAAGTTTTCATTTCCTGTTAAACAGACCTTCAACAGTTTCCTGTTTGAGAAGGACAACTTCTCTGTCCGACTGCGTCATTTCTTCCAATTGGTGGATAAGCTGCTGGTGTCAATACCACTTAAATATTACCAATATATATATAGAGCTATGACTATATAGAGTAATGACGAATATATGTTCCGGGGAATGGTTGTGTCCGTCTAGACCGGGTCCCTTGAGGCAATGCTCACCTTATACACAGGCTTGGCTAATGGCGTAAAACCCTGATAATTTGGCATTTTGTGTACATCATTATTAGGTGTCATTTTGTATGTATAGTGCATTCCACACTTCCAGTTGTGTTTATTGTTCTTCTGTATTGGCGCCACAGTTACCATTGCTTCTCACATCAATACAAGCCGCAAAACAACTTGCAGGTAATATTTCCTTATTTATGGCTGAAAAGGGGCCGATACAGCTGTTTGGGAATGTGGGAGTGCATACTTGAGAATAAAGGGGAGGAAGTGCACACTACATTTTCACCCGTTTTCACATGAGCTTCGATGGTCAGTTGATAGACTTTTAAGACAAAAAGGGGGGGGGGACACTCACGCGCGCGCACACACACACACACACACCTCTGGCTCCGTCTATGTTAAATGTGTTGCTGCAAGCGAATACAGTTTACATACAAGACGTACCACTTTCACTGAACATGCGTAAGGCACAGGTAGGCTGTAGCTGGTACCATTGAGCCCGAGCTTTCTGTCTATTGGACGGAAACCGAAGTACCGAGCCTCTGTTTTATAGCTGAGCTGCAGAACAATAACATTGTTAGATTGATGATTTGACATCCCGGGCCGTGGCTGTATTGTTGACAAGGGGAAACGTGTGTGCACTATGCCGCAGACACGACACGTCAGTACTTCCTTCTCCAGTGACATCTCGGGCCGTGGCTGTATTGTTGACAAGGGGAAACGTGTGTGCACTATGCCGCAGACACGACACGTCAGTACTTCCTTCTCCAGGGTGTTTGTTCCTGATGTAGTATCATGTTTGGTTTCAGCTGTCTGCCCTGTCCTCACCTCTTGTCCATTGGTTGGTTTCAGACTTTCAAGGACAATCAAAAACTCTTGAATTCTTATTTATTCAATCCGTAATGATTTCAACTTCTAAAACAATGAAAAAACTGTTTACAATACATCCCTTTCACAATGTACCTATGTACAATCTCTGGGGAGACTAAATGATTTGAAAATGTGGTGTAACTCACTGAGTCGAAACCATTCTTCTTGCCACACTATAATTGTGGTCCTCACCTTCTGAAACTCACTGTGTCGCCTAACACATCAGAACTATGGAAACACTGAAAAAGTGTGGCTCGAGACAGTGTTATCCGTGCACTCCGTTCAAGCACTGGGACATAAGGGGCGGTGGGGTAGCCTAGTGGTTAAGGCGTTCGCTCGTCACGCCGAAGACTCCGGTTCGATTCCCGACATGGGTACAGTGTGTGATACCCATTTCTGTTGTCCCCCGCCGTGATGTTGCTGGAATATTGATAAAAGCGGCGTAAAACCAAAACTCACTCACTCACTGGGAAATAATATCAGTGGAAAGTATCAAGAGCTGATCTGGTGATGATGGGAGACACAGTCAGTGGAAAGTATCAAGAGCTGATCTGGTGAAGGTGGGAGACACACCCAGTGGAAAGTATCAAGAGGGCTGATCTGGTGATGATGGGAGACACAGTCAGTTGAAAGTATCAAGGGCTGATCTCGTGAAGGTGGGAGACACAGTCAGTGGAAAGTATCAAGGGCTGATCTGGTGAAGGTGGGAGACACACCCAGTGGAAAGTATCAAGAGCTGATCTGGTGATGATGGGAGACACAGTCAGTGGAAAGTATCAAGAGCTGATCTGGTGAAGGTGGGAGACACAGTCAGTGGAAAGTATCAAGAGCTGATCTGGTGATGATGGGAGACACAGTCAGTGGAAAGTATCAAGAGCTGATCTGGTGATGATGGGAGACACAGTCAGTGGAAAGTATCAAGAGCTGATCTGGTGAAGGTGGGAGACACAGCCAGTGGAAAGTATCAAGAGCTGATCTGGTGATGATGGGAGACACAGTCAGTGGAAAGTATCAAGAGCTGATCTGGTGATGATGGGAGACACAGCCAGTGGAAAGTATCAAGAGCTGATCTGGTGATGATGGGAGACACAGCCAGTGGAAAGTATCAAGAGCTGATCTGGTGATGATGGGAGACACAGTCAGTGGAAAGTATCAAGAGCTGATCTGGTGAAGGTGGGAGATACAGCCAGTGGACAGTATCAAGAGCTGATCTGGTGAAGGTGGGAGACACACTCAGTGGAAAGTATCAAGAGCTGATCTGGTGAAGGTGGGAGACACAGCCAGTGGACAGTATCAAGAGCTGATCTGGTGATGATGGGAGATACAGCCAGTGGAAAGTATCAAGAGCTGATCTGGTGAAGATAGGGGACACAGTCAGTGGACAGTATCAAGGGGTGATCTGGTAATGATGGGAGATACAGCCAGTGGAAAGTATCAAGAGCTGATCTGGTGATGATAGGGGACACAGTCAGGACAGTGGAAGTAATGTGGGAGACAGCCAGTGGAAAGTATCAAGAGCTGATCTGGTGAAGGTGGGAGACACAGTCAGTGGAAAGTATCAAGAGCTGATCTGGTGAAGGTGGGAGACACAGTCAGTGGAAAGTATCAAGAGCTGATCTGGTGAAGGTGGGAGACACAGTCAGTGGAAAGTATCAAGAGCTGATCTGGTGAAGGTGGGAGACACAGTCAGTGGAAAGTATCAAGAGCTGATCTGGTGATGATGGGAGACACAGCCAGTGGAAAGTATCAAGGGCTGATCTGGTGAAGGTGGGAGACACAGTCAGTGGACAGTATCAAGAGCTGATCTGTTGATGATGGGAGATACAGTCAGTGGAAAGTTTCAAGGGTTGATCTGGTGAAGGTGGGAGACACAGTCAGTGGAAAGTATCAAGAGCTGATCTGGTGAAGGTGGGAGGCACAGTCAGTGTAAAGTATCAAGAGCTGATCTGGTGATGATAGGAGACACAGTCAGTGGAAAGTGTCAAGGGCTGATCTGGTGAAGGTGGGAGACACAGTCAGTGGAAAGTATCAAGAGCTGATCTGGTGAAGGTGGGAGACACAGTCAGTGGAAAGTATCAAGAGCTGATCTGGTGAAGGTGGGAGATACAGTCAGTGGAAAGTATCAAGAGCTGATCTGGTGATGATGGGAGACACAGTCAGTGGAAAGTATCAAGAGCTGATCTGGTGAAGGTGGGAGATACAGTCAGTGGAAAGTATCAAGAGCTGATCTGGTGATGATGGGAGACACAGTCAGTGGAAAGTATCAAGGGCTGATCTGGTGGAGGTGGGAGACACAGCCAGTGGAAAAGTATCAAGAGCTGAGCTGAGGATGATGGGAGACACAGTCAGTGGAAAGTGTCAAGGCCTGAGCTGGTGATGCTGGGTCTGTTGCAGGGGTTTTCAGCCATCACATGGTCGGCATTAGGATCAGTGTATGAAATCTCATCTGATTCCACGGACTTCCACAAGGCCTGTGTATCTGGAACAGCACAGATGTAAGGTATAAACACCATTCTCACTCCCACAACTGCACCATGCTGGTCTTATTCTGATTTCAGTAGACAATTCGTTTTAGATTTTATGTTCAATTAATGGCATATATTGAAAAAAATAACAATGTGTGCCATATTTATTTTTAGAAGATGCAGCAAAATGGTAATCATTTGGATACTTTTTACAAAGGTTACCCCATCGCCCCCATGATTCAGGAAATAACAGCAAACAAATATATCATTTGAAAAACGTACTTATACACTCTGCGCCATGGTTTAAGTGCCTCGGTGCAGCGGTGCGTGCCCGTCGAGCATAACGGTGTCCTGTGAATATAGGACATACAGTTGTTCCTTATGTTACAAGGTGCATTTACCTGTTACAGAGAGTCCACGAGATATATATGTTACAGGAATGTGTGAAACCAGGGATTTCACGTAATCCCTAAAAGAGTCAGTGATTTCGTGAAAATCACTGTGACCCCCAGGGATTTCGTGTATTCCCTAACATATCAAGGGATTTCATAAAATAACTGACATATTGGCTCAGGGATTTCATGTAACCCCTCCCAGCCTTTATTGACATAAAGAACACCAAATTTATAATACGAGTATAAGGTATATGCTGTGACATACACACACACACACACACATGTATATCATTACATTTTGAGCCTCACCCAGCAATATGACGGATCTACATGAACTCAGTCTTGTTCCTGCTCTACTGAACTGTTTTCACAAGGTCTCTAATGACCCTTGCGATCGAAATTCGGTAGTCTTAGAAGAAGAAATAGAGAGCTTGGGTCTATTGGATATAAACATGGAAAGTCACCTTTGACAGCCACGGCAAAGAGGAGAATTAGAATGATAGCTCCCAGAAGCATACCTCCAGCTATGATATAGGACTTGTAGAGGCACACTGAAATAAATACGTAAGTAAATGTGTTATATTTCAATATAATAGAGTTGAGTGAGATAGAGGGGAACAACTACCTACAGTAAATGACACTGAGTGAGATAAAGGGGAACAAATACCTGCCACAAACAGTCTTGGTTGAAATCAAGGGGAATAACTACCTAGAGTAAATGATACATGCTTGTGTTCGATTATGAGAACTCACTTACTTGTGTCCGTGCAAGCTTCAACTGCAAAGAACAACGTAGAGAATGTTAAACAGGATGAATTCATGTTATTTGCCTTCTGACGACTAAAATATTTCCGTGTTTTTCTTATAAATACCTTAACATGAGAACTCAACAACATTAGAAACTTGACACCCAAATTATTGGTAATATACTAGGCAGCAAAAGAAACGTCAGTTTGGAATTTTCCTTCGCAGAAACGGATAACTGTACACTCATTTCATGTTTTGATTGTATATTTTTGATAACATCTCCAACTTTACCTGAGCAAAGACATTCCTTCCCAAACTCAGAATTGAACCCAGGAAATGGTCTCAAAAACGCTACCTGATCTCGGAGATAGTGCGGTGTTCTTCAGTTTTTCATGCAACTCATGCTGCACGTGCTGTTCACAAGGACCAACCCTATAAAATGCACCCCAAAACCTGGTTGAAACATTCTCATTACAACGTCAGCAGGATGCCGCGACTCACGACAGCTCAGAGGAACCAGGCGCTAGGAAGACTTAAAGCTGGCCACACTGCACAATAACTTCCAGGTCAACGTTCGGACCATCTACAGGCTACAGCAACGTTTCCGGGCCACCAACACCACAAATGATCGCAACTGTACTGGCAGACCAAGGGTCACCACAAGACGACAAGACCGCCATGTTGTTCGACAGCATGTACAGAATCCCTTCATGCAGGCATCCGAAACAGCACGCCAGACAGTGGGAACACATGGAAGACCAATCAGTATTGATACAGTACGCCGACGTCTTAACAGCGGGAACCTCCATTGCCGTAGACCTTACCGTGGACCTATCCTCACCCCTCGTCATCGGCGTGAACGTCTACAGTTTGCCCTACAACACCAAAACTGGCGATACAGGCAATGGAGAACTGTTCTGTTCACAGATGAGAGTCGGTACTGCGTATCAACTGCAGATGGCAGAACAAGAATATGGCGACGACGTGGCCAGCGTTACTCAGACCAATGTGTTATGGAAAGAGACTCATGGGGAGGTGCAAGCATCATGGTATGGGGTGGAATAGGCCTGAACCAGAGAGTGGGTCCTGTGGTGTTACAGAACCTTGGTCCAGGCTGAGGAGGGGGCATCACAGCGTTGCGCTACATCGACCAAGCTCTCAGACCCCACGTCATACCACATTTCACACGTCACCGGAACAACATTTCCCAGCATGATAACGAACGGGCCCATACTGCCAGAGCTACACGGGACTTCCTACAGCAAAACGGTGTCAACATTATGCAGTGGCCAGCCCTTAGTCCCGATTTATACCCAATTGAACATCTTTGGGATGAAATTCAGAGGAGACTGAATAATGTCATACCAAGGCCGAACACAGCCGATTTATTGCGCCAGGCCTTTCTCAGAGTGTGGTTCCAGGTGCCAATGGTCTTTATCAATCGATAGGTGCACTCCATGCATAAAAACTGTGCTGTAGTTATTGCCGCTCGTGGTGGTCAAACTAGATACTGAAGTCAAGAGTCTGAATGGACCGCAAACGTTCACGTAATGTCTTGAAATTGTGCTGAGTTATTTATTTTGTGTCAAGATATTGTACACAAAAAATGGTTTTGATCCGCTTATTATGTCCATTTCTGTAATGATTTGATTACAGTGCCTATCTAATTTTGAATTTGTTTTGACGGGGTTTTTTTTTTGCTGCTGAGTATATTTGTGAATGAGGTAATTCTTCTTTAAATTCTTGTTGTGTTATACGTACAACACGGTCATACAGGCTGTTTGAACATAATCTTGGCAACCGATGTGAAACACAACAATCACGTGCAGCGAGTCACGTGATCATCTTTGCGATTACATGTGCATTAGAATGCACATACAGAGACATTATTACTCAGGAAAAGCATCAAAATTTAAAGTTTAATCAAAAAGTGAGAATGCCGCAACATGATCAGCAACATGAAAGTGGATTAAGATTGTTGCTGGACAATCCGTTGCAGCAGTTGCAAGAACCCGGGGCTGTAGTCGTCAGACAGTGTGTGACACAGTGAAACAGGATCCGTCTGCAGCTTACGGACACCGCCGCAAATCACGCAAAACATGGTGAGCCGCGTGTGATATCATACCAAGATGACGTAGATGAGATCGGGTTACATAATCTCCGCTACAGTTTTGTGAGTGTAACATTTACTAGCAGACAGTTGTTCAGAGAAACATTGTCAGCACATGTCATCGTAAATCATCGCAGCTATGCTAGCAACATGGCCACACTAACCCATCGTGCTCAACCTTTGCGATGGGTCCATAGACATGCCAGATTTAGCAAGGTTGTTGAACAAGATTGTCTTCAGTGACGAGTTACGCTTCATGCTGCGCTTTGCCTATGGCCGGGCACCTGTATGGCACAGGTAGAATGACGTCACGCACAGGAGGGGAAGCGTAATGGTCTGGGGACCATGTTGTGCAACCAGTTGATCTCAATTGATTGCCATGAAGAGGAATCTCTCTGTCATACTGTGTCGGGTCCACGTTTTCACCCAAGCCCGTCTTCTTGGGTAACGCCGGCCGGTGTTGATGGGATGGACTACCTTCCCTATTCCATAGGCTTGAATCCGATCGGACATTTGGTATGAGCTGGGAAAACGAGTGCAACAGCTGAAGCATCAACACCAGACTTTGCAACAACTTGGGCAAGCATTCCTTGACCAATAGAGACAACTTCCGGTTACAGTATTCCTACTGGTTCTCCTGTTCATGAGGAGACGTTGTGTTGCCATCACGGTCGCCCTCGTTATTGACTTTCGGTATTGTCTTTGTGAGGTTCAAGTTAGTGTCAACTTGTTCATTTTGAATTGTACACATAACATTTTTTTCTGTGGACAATGGAAATCAGAGGTTCATTAGAAAATCCAATTTCCAACTGACAATTTCAATCTTTATTCCAAATTTTATAGAAGTCAAGCTGTGTGGAAGAAAATTTAAATGTTCCTAATTAGTATCAATATAACTTACCGGTGTCAGCGATATCAAAAGTGTAGTTGATATTGAGATTATACCGAAGACCATTGGACAAGATCACTGTGAAAACTCCTGATTTGTTCTTGGTCACATTAAAGTGGGTAAACTGATGGTATTCCACATGGTACAACCCTGGCAACTTGACATGGCGCCAACTGATGCCCCCGACTTCCTCCAGTAGGTTTCTCTCAGTCCCATCTCTCTGTAGACTCCATCCAACAAGAACTGATGGTGGTTTGGACACAACTGAGATGTTGGTTGTGATGGTTTCTCCACTATGCAGCAAATATACCGTTGCAAGTTCTCGTTCGTTCTGCAACTTTACCATACCTGCATACAAATAAACACCAGGATATTGTAACATATTTTAAGCATTGATAATATCATTTGACAAGAGTCATCAGGAGATTATGTGTCCCTGGTCTTGTCCAATTCGCAAATGGAGTCTGGCTACCTATACCCAGTTTCTAAACCCCCGAAATAAGGATACCTATACAGCTCAATGAAGAAACACTTAATGTCGTTCAATAATTTTCAACATTTCAAATCACCGAAAGGCACCAGTACACACTATACCAATTTGTAAAGAAATCTTCAACGATTTTTGCTCCCAAAACAAAACCCTCATTTGCAGTTTGAGTCCAACACCAGTGATGAGATAAGTCGGTGTTTCTGGAAGAACAATACTCACATTGAGCAACTTCAAGTTTAATGATGCTTTCCACAGTTCCCACCCCGGCAGTATTGCCAGCCTGACAAACAAATCTTCCTCCATCATCACATTTCACGTCCGTCAAATGATAGGCACTTGTGAAACCGCCAGAAGGATTTGGATGAAGTCCGTATCTGTGTGTGAGGTTCTCCGTGTGTAGGTTGACGCCATCTTTGTGCCACTTCACCAGAGGAGGGGGGTACCCATCAACAGAGCAGTTCAGAGTTATGTTTGCACCTTCCCTGGTACTATACTTCTTCATTTCCCGTCCTTTGACTGATATAGCAACGTTTCTTGGCGGATCTAAAAAAAGGAAGTCTGAACATCACAAAATATCAACTTATTTATGATTTAGTTGTACAATGAAATCTGCTCAGCAGAGATGACCTGTTGTTATGGAAAGATTTTTGTTCATTTTGAATTCATTATGCTCTACATCATACAGTGTTATTGTTGTCATAGATTTTGTCGATAGATTGATATGAATAGATATGAAATATTGAACGTTAAATCCATACCTGAAAACATACCTGTTTCACCTCAAAAGTCTCACGAAGTCTCACTTAGTGGCCATGGATTAGATTTTCGCTATATATTTGATAAATTAGATAGACTGCGTCGGTATCAGCATTTATAAGACCCCGAATTTGTCGACATTTCAACTGAAGGTGTCCCCACGTTATACAGTGACTAGTCATAATTGAAAAGAAACTCACAGTTTACAAGTATTTCCAACTTCTTATTCCCAGGGTGGTGCCCATGTTCCTGAACAATGCATGTGTAGTTCCCTGTACTTGTGATTGTAAGTGGCTTGAATAGGAGAGTAGCATTTCCCCACTGGAATGTTGAATCCTCTTCTTTTGTCCAGAATACGTAGTAGTTACACTGAGATGTACATTGAGCCGTACATGTGACGCTCGCCTCCTTCCCGGCGTCCAGTCTCCATGGTGATGATTGTGTCAGCGATATGGAGACTGAAAGATATTTTAGAGATATTAAAGATATTTTAGAGATATATAAAAGTAACCACCACCCTTTTATCCTTATATATTTCTTGTAAAAAAAGTTAGTAAAATAATCATCGTCAGAACTATTTACCTGATTTTACACCGACAAGAAGAAATGCGAACACTACTGCATATAACATAACTTGAGCTGTCGTGTCAACTGAACTGCAAATGGTTAATCAAGGAAATATTTCTGTATAAAGATGATATCCAAAACACAGTGCGTAAATAACAATACACGGACGTTTCCACACTCAACAAGTCAGTATGAAACCAACAAACAGAAATGTAATGGTATGTTAAGTAGGTAACAAGGTTTTAAACTCGATTGAAATTACTACTGCAAAGTTCACAATAGAGTGAGTGAGTCAGTTTTGTTTTACGCCACTTTTAGCAATATTCAAGTAATATCACGGCGGGGGACACAAGAAATGAGCTTCACACATTGTACCCATGTAGGGAATCGAACCCGGGTCTTCGCGTGACGAGCGAACGCTTTAACCGCTAGGCTACCCACCCGCGCAATTCACAACAGAGAGGCAGTGGAATACGTGGTAATAGCAAGTACGTCAGTCAAAGTAATATATACCAAGCAACAGCAGTGGTCAAACTTCCAAAATCAGCTTAGGCTGGGCATCCAGGGTGAAAAGAATAACCTTCACACCACCGCTGGTGTTGATGTAATATAGCAGTAGAGGCATGTGCTTGTACCTTATGTAGTCTTACAACGGTTCCTCAATGTTCTGGATGGGCAAACGCTGTTCTGGAAGACTTCTTTGAGAGGCATTTAGAACAACATGTCATGCAGACTAGAACAAACCATACAGAACTTTAACAATAAAACAGAGAAATCCACCCGTCAACAATCTGCACCCTTTATCATCAGCCTCCCCTATTACGGAATTGTCAACCACAAATTTCAGAGACTCTCGAAAACCAGGCCAATATAGATGAGTGAGTGAGTGTCTTTAATTCCTCCTTGATAAATAGGAGATATAATGAAGCAAGCTTAAATCACAAACATGACACAGGCCGGAAAAGTAATGAGGTAAACGGAAGAGTTAATCATTGATTACTTTAAGAAAATGACCAACAATGATGGCTAGTGACTTGTTGTCAATTTCAAGTTCATGTCCGCCAAGGTGAGCTAGAGTTTGACTCTCAGGGTCCATATTGTCCAGCGTGACATATGTGTCAGGTCCAAAGACGTCAAGTACGGAGTACCACATGATCTCTCTGCTCGAGAGCACTCGGGTGTCGCTGCAGGACTGGAACTGATGAAGGGCCAGATTGTCCAGATCAGAGTCACAGTGAGGACACCTGCTTGCTATCAGGGGTGTAGCAATCAGGCGAAGCAATCTGTAGTATTCACTTCTGTGTTTTGGGTCGTACTTGCTGAGGACCCACAGATAGTGGGGAGAGTAGCAGCTGTGTAATTGCGAGAACACACTCAGTTCAGGCATATAATTGTGGACATATTGTGGACAGGCATATGTAGGCGAAACATCAAGACCCCCTCAAAACCCGAATCAAAGAGCATCAGGCCTCAGTATTAAAACTTGACTCCAAATCAGCCCTAACAGATCACATCCAAGACAATCCCAACCCCAGTATCCAGTTTGAACCCAAACCCTAACAACCAACCTAACAGACTTTAAACTAATGAAACTCCAAGACGCTATCTATATCAAAAGACTCCAGTCATCAATCAACCGTGACCAAGGCTATTACATACCTCCTGCATACTACCAAGTCATCAAAGATCCCTGCATCGATATATCCCCCTTAATGTATACTGCAGGTTCCACTTGTTAACGTATTGGATAAAGGCCATGTGTTGTTATTGTGTCTGGCTCCCTAATACCCTATTGTACTGTACAAACATCTCACCTAACTTGTATATATAATTCTCTATCCCCATGCTGTTCAGCCCTGTACTACCTTTACATCGCTATTTCAGTTAGCATGATAACTGATTATTGAAAGTCTACTGAATATTTTAACAGTAATGCAATTACAAGATTGTTTAACAATGAATTATACTTCCATATAACGAAAGTTAAACTAATTGTTTGTTATTTAACTCAGCACTCAACATCCCATCTAAATGACAGCAGCCTTTTGATACTCAAGTACAGATAAGACTGACCAGTGATCGATGTCATGGGCAGTCATTGAAAATCAACCTCGTCGCACATCTTCTTCACGAAGATGAATTACGTCACCAGTTTGGGTTGCTGGGGACAGGTTCGAACCTCTGAATCACCACAGGTCCAAACCAACAGCATCCATGATATCCAACTGTTTACAGGCCATCAACTATCGCCAGTCTATAGAATATGCATAGACTGGAACTGATATAAGATGTTTAGAGAATTTAAATCTGTTTCATATATGGCTCGAGGCACATTATATTAACACATTTCACCTGAAGGCATTTTTATGTGCCTGAGCCTGTATTTCCTTTAGTTTATCTTCATACCATAAACTATTATCGGCTTTTTCTACTAACAGCATAAAAACATACATGTTGGTGTCAGTTAACGTGTCTTTGAATTGCATTAGAATATATGTACAAAGCAATGTCTGTATTAGAGGAACACAAAGTTGTTTTTTATGGTAGGTAGGTAGGTAGGTAGGTGGGTAGGTAGGTAGGTGGGTAGGTAGGTAGGTAGGTAGGTAGGTGGGTAGGTGGGTGGGTGGGTGGGTGGGTGGAGTGGGTGGGTGGGTAGGTGGGGTGGGTGGGTGGGTGGGTGGGTGGGTGGGTGGGTGGGTAGGTGGGTGGAGGGTGGGTGGGTGGGTGGGTGGGTGGGTGGGTGGAGGTGGGTGGGTGGGTAGGTGGGTAGGTAGGTGGGTGGGTGGGTAGGTGGGGTAGGTGGGTGGGTAGGTAGGTAGGTAGGGGTGGGTGGGTGGGTGGAGTGGGTGGGTGGGTGGGTGGGTGGGTGGTGGGTGGGTGGGTGGGTGGGTGGGTGGGTGGGTGGGTGGGTAGGTAGGTGGGTGGGTGGGTGGGTGGGTAGGTGGGTGGGTGGGTGGGTGTGGGTGGGTGGGTGAAGGGGTAGGTAGGTGGGTGGGTGTAGGTGGGTGGGTGGGTGGGTGGGTGGGTGGGTGGGTGAAGTGGGTAAGGTAGGTGGGTGGGTGGGTGGGTGGGTGGTGGGTGGGTGGGTGGGTGGGTGGGTGGGTGGGTGGGTGGGTGGGTGGGTAGGTAGGTAGGTAGGTGGGTGGGTGGGTGGAGGGGAGGTGGGTGGGTGGGTAGGTGGGTAGGTGGGTGGGTAGGTGGGTAGGTGGGTGGGTAGGTGGGTGGTGGGTAGGTAGGTAGGTGGGTAGGTAGGTGGGTAGGTAAGGTAGGTAGGTAGGTAGGTAGGTAAGTGGGTAGGTAGGTGGGTGGGTGGGTAGGTGGGTAGGTGGGTGGGTAGGTAGGTAGGTAAGTAGGTAAGGAGAGAGGGAGGTAGGTAGGTAGGTAGATAGGTAGGTAGGTAGGTAAGTATGTAAGAGGTGAGGGAGGTAGGTAGGTAAGTAGGCAGGTAGGTAGGTAGGTAGATTGGTAAGTAGGTAGGTAGGTAGGTAGGTAGGTAGAGAGGGAGGTAGGTAGGTAGGTAGGTAAGGTTTAAGGTCGACCTTGGGCCTTAAAAAGCCTATATGTGTGCTTTCTCGGGTGGATTCTCTCCCTCACTAGGTACGTTCACTAAATTATATGTGTTGGCTCGCATGTGACGAAACTATCTGATAAGCTGAAACTGTTTATCATGTCAACACTGATGGCACCCTCTTGATTTACACCCTGATGCCAGGATCACGCCAGGCAGTCAATGGTCACACGAAACGGTCACATGTCTGCGTTCATATGGTTATAACATCCAAATGTTACTCTCGTAGTTTATATGTTACAAAAACCAGTGAGACGATACTGTATGTATGACCTTGTTACCGCGGTGTTATTACAATTTACCGCGGTATTACAATTTACCGCGGTATTACAATTTACCGCGGTATTACAATTTACCGCGGTGTTATTACAATTTGCCGCAGTTTATTACATTTTACCGCGTTATTACAATTTACGTCGTAACAGACCTCCCTGTTAAAACGTACTTAACTGACGTTGATAATTGAATATTTGAAAACAGATTTTTGCGAAATAGGAATCCATACAAAACTTTAGAATGAGTTTCGTTTTCCTCAGTAGAAAAATAAGTGTTATGTAAACCCGGAAACTGCCTATTGTTGTAAACACTCACGTGAAACCCGAGGGCAGGGTTGTGAATGAATTAGAAACTGTCGTAAACTTACCGTAACTGAGACGGCATGAGAGTCAGTTAGTGGGTGCGTACGTGGGTGAGTGACTGGAGCTGGCAGGGAGTTAGTTAGCCCGTTGCTGATGTAGTAAGTGGGTTGGGCAGTGAGGGGCTGGTGAAATGGTGAGTGAGTGAACAACATTGCTGCTATAAGACAAATATTGGAAACGGAGCTGGTAAAACAGTCAGATGTCACTGAGGTAGTGGATGCGTAAGTGACTGACTAAAGTAGTGGGTCAATGAGTGGATAAGTGGAACTGGGTGAGTGAGTGAGTCAAAGGGTGACTGAGGTAGTGGAAGCGTAAGTGACTGACTAAAGTAGTGGGTCAATGAGTGGATAAGTGGAGCTGGGTGAGTGAGTGAGTCAAAGGGTGACTGAGGTAGTGGAAGCGTAAGTGACTGACTAAAGTAGTGGGTCAATGAGTGGATAAATGGGAGTGGGTGAGTGAAGTGAGGAAAGGTGACTGATGAAGTGGGGTGAGTGAGTGAACTGAGTGAGAGTGAGTCTGAAAGGTGACTGATGAAGTGGGTGAGTTATTAGAGGTGCCAGTGGCTTTAGTGAAAGTGACTTTAATTCATCAAGTCTACGGGGTTCCTCCCTGAAGATTATTTTCTTCATATAAGTGTTTTTACTAGTAGGAAATTGGGTCGGCAATTATATACATGACATGCAGGGGGGAAGGGAGTCACTTACTTTGTGCATATATTTTAGGGTAGGGGGTAGGGGGTATTATTCACATTGTACATGTTTCTCCACTAACCATGCATTATGCATGGTCCCAAATTAAGGTGCGCAGTAAAATGATAGGCAAGTTTGCATAAGCGGCTTTTAATTAGCTTGTCGTATTTGTGTTGTAAATTAAATATTGTTTCCTGGTCTTTCTTTCATTTTCCACATTTTTAATATATTGTGACATGTTGACGATGTTTATTAGTTCAGTCGATGTTAGTCATAAGCGAAACCACTTCCGGTTTCTGAATTAATCAGGATCGGTTAAAGCTTATCACAAAAAAATATTATCTTTGATGCTGTTATCAACAAGGAAGTGATTTCGTTGAATTATTTCCTCTTTCCCCTGAGTTTAGTAACGTATACCAAACGTTCAGGCGTCTTGTGTCCTGATTATGTTGGAATCTGATCACGCCATCTTGCCTGAGATATCGCAGTGTATGATGTTTTACGGCCCAGGTGACAAGTCTGAGATATCGCAGTGTATGATGTTTTACGGCCCAGGTGACAAGTCTGAGATATCGCTGTGTATGATGTTTTACGGCCCAGGTGACAAGTCTGAGATATCGCAGTGTATGATGTTTTACGGCCCAGGTGACAAGTCTGAGATATCGCAGTGTATGATGTTTTACGGCCCAGGTGACAAGTCTGAGATATCGCTGTGTATGATGGTTTACGGCCCAGGTGACAAGTCTGAGATATCGAAGTGTATTATGTTTTACGGCCCAGGTGGCAAGTCTGAGATATCGCAGTGTATGATGTTTTACGGCCCAGGTGACAAGTCTGAGATATCGCAGTGTATGATGTTTTAAGGCCCAGGTGACAAGTCTGAGATATCGCAGTGTATGATGTTTTACGGCCCAGGTGACAAGTCTGAGATATCGAAGTGTATGATGGTTTACGGCCCAGGTGGCAAGTCTGAGATATCGCTGTGTATGATGTTTTAAGGCCCAGGTGACAAGTCTGAGATATCGCTGTGTATGATGTTTTACGGCCCAGGTGACAAGTCTGAGATATCGAAGTGTATGATGTTTTACGGCCCAGGTGACAAGTCTGAGATATCGCAGTGTATGATGGTTTACGGCCCAGGTGACAAGTCTGAGATATCGCTGTGTATGATGGTTTACGGCCCAGGTGACAAGCCTGAGATATCTGATGCTCTACCGGAATCTCACTGGTCACTGAACTCAAACACAAAACCGTTGTATAACATTTATCGGAAGCTAATAATGTATTCAATTGTTTTAACCATATTTGACAAGACAATGTGGCAAATAATATTGCCAGAAGATAAGATCACTTCAGGAGGAAAATAATCACAACTCAGGTGATGTATAACAACTGAATTGGAACTTTAATATTCAACGGCAGTCTCAGTGACATTGTAAATATCCAGCATAAAGCATTGTCCTTTCTACGCTCTGGAAAATAATTTACATCAACAGGTATTTTACATACATGTTATCTACAACCTACGTATCACTATGACAAACATAAGCTATCATATAGCTACAATATCGTTTTGAAAAATTAATTATTGTTCATTTAGGTCTTCATACAAGCATATATTCTCTTGTCACCAGACAATCCAGTGATCAGTATCATGAGCTAAGACCCACACTGATCGGGAACGATCTGTCATCAGACAATCCAGTGATCAGCATCATGAGCTAAGACCCACACTGATCGGGAACGATCTGTCACCAGACAATCCAGTGATCAGCATCATGAGCTAAGGCCAACACTGATGGGGAACGACCTGTCACCATACAATCCAGTGATCAGCATCATGAGCTAAGACCCACACTGATGGGGAACGATCTGTTACCAGACAATCCAGTGATCAGCATCATGAGCTCAGACCCACACTGATGGGGAACGACCTGTCACCATACAATCCAGTGATCAGCATCATGAGCTAAGACCCACACTGATGGGGAACGATCTGTCACCAGACAATCCAGTGATCAGCATCATGAGCTAAGACCAACACTGATGGGGAACGATCTGTCGCCAGACAATCCAGTGATCAGTATCATGAGCTAAGACCAACACTGATGGGGAACGATCTGTCACCAGACTATCCAGTGATCAGTATCATGAGCTAAGACCCACACTGATGGGGAACGATCTGTCACCAGACAACCCAGTGATCAGCATCATGAGCTAAGACCAACACTGATGGGGAACGATCTGTCACCAGACAATCCAGTGATCAGCATCATGAGCTCAGACCCACGCTGATGGGGAACGACATGTCAAGGAAGTATATTTAAGGAAGTATAAGAAATCCCGAATTATATGACTCAAGTGCATGTTTCGTATGTCCACATTACATTATATATACTATGTAATACAGATCTGAGTGAGTGAAGCATAGTTTTATGTGACACACACATACACACTTTATGTACAAATTCAAACCAAACAAAACTATTTACAAGACGGAATCCTCATGAAATGTTATAATTAATGTTGTTGACGTAACACCAGGTGTTTGCGAACAAATCCACCCCCTGTGATTATATCAAGTGTTCATGAAACGGTGTCATGATACTTTGGTGACACCAAGGGCTAGTTAAAACAAGAAATGCTGTTGTAATGAGAACAGCTGTTCGCGAACCATTGTGTTGTAGCCATGATACTGAGGGTTCAAGAAAACTGTATACGTACAATAGAGGCCCGGTTTTCGCTAAATACGAGGTTACACAGATGACAGATGTTACATGATTGACACCAGGTGCTTGGAAATAACTGCAGTGATACAGTGATGGAAGAGCTTGCGAGATGGGTGTCAGTTAGAGAACCTGTAGATCAGCATTCCGTGACATCGTTGGTTTCTCTGAAGGTGTACTGTGGTGCGATGGGATGAAGAACCTGGGCGCTCTCTGCCGCAGTGTACTTGATGGTAGCCATGCTGTCATCTAGTTCACTGAAGATATCCTCTATCGACGGGTGAGACATTTTTGAATCACAGAATACTGAAACAAATGTGTGAGATGCCTTAGCTTGACAATTTACCAATTTGTTTTGTTATTTAAAAAATTATTAACTGACTATCCGGAATAACAGTCAGGTAAAATGTATGTGTTCGGTTTTCTGCCCGTTCTCAGCAGTAACTGACAGAGTACCATTGACAGTAAACAGTAAACATTAAACTACTAACATCAAATTCTTATTAGTAATCAACAAAAGTAATTTTAACCTAAAACCTACTAACAGTAAACTCCTACCTCTGAGACAGAAGGACAACAGGACAAGGAATAGAACAGCCCCGATAACGACCCCGACAACAAGACCCCACATCATCTTGCACGCTGAAACAGAGAAAGTGAGGTGCTAGTAGGTAAAGGGTGGTTCGTCCACACTGACGTCATCACCGATTTTCAGAAGTCCAGAAACCGTTATATTGAGTATGAGTGAGAGAGTTTAGTTTCACGCCGCTTTTAGCAATATTCCAGCAATATCACGGCGGGGGACACCATAAATGGACTTCACACATTGTACCCATGTGGGGATCGAACCTGGGTCTTCGGCGCTTTAACCACTAGGCTAACACACACACACACACACACGTTATATTGATTCTCCCGACAAATGGAATGCGTTTTGGCTATTAATCCCCTCCTAGTTTTTATATATTTTCAGGCTTAAGTTTCCCTCTTTAGAGACCCGGAATGCCGAAACCGTTCAAGAACATCTCCGTCTGAGGCAGTACCCCTGCATTCAGTCCTCGAGCAGTACTAAGTACTTACTGGAGTCACAGTACTCGTCCTCCTTCTCCATCTCACTCGTATCTGCAACGGTATATATTATAGGGAAGTACAAGGGTTATGTTTTGGTCATTGAACACTTGAAAACGTATTACACTGAACGCGACTGATGTCATGTGGGTACTGTGTTAATGTTTATAGTCACCAAAGGTTGAATACTTACTGGTGTAGCCTTCCGTTGTAATGAAACTCTCAACAGTGGTATCTGTTGAATCTGAAGACAAAGTAAAATCAAATAGTATTATCTGAATGACATATCAGCTTCACATTTATTCCATCTAAAAGACTACTGTCTGTGAAAAACCTCAAGGGTCTGTCAATCCAGTTACTAATAGCATTATCTTAATCTGGCCACCTGAAACATATATTCTTACGACCCACGGATGTTTCTTGAGATACAACATTTCAAGAATTGAAATAGAACCAAAAATGAAAACATACATAAGCACCTGCAGCTATATATACCGGGAAACGTTTGTATAGTTTTGTTTGATTGTTTGATGCTTGAAGACCTGATTATCCAGCTGGAGCTAGAATGCGCTTACCATATTCCATCCTGATATTGTAATCCAGATCCAGATTACGGCGAAGACCATTGGTGAGGGTGACGTTGTACACACCAGTCGTGTTTTGAGTAACATTCACGTGGTAGAATTCAAATAACTGAATATTAGTTGAGATTGTCCTATTTTTCCTGTACCATGCTGAATTGCCTCCTTTCATATTGAAAAGATCGATGTCACTTCCATGGAAGCGCCATCCCGCAACTAAGGACTCAGGACTTGAAACGACTGTAAACGTGACCACAGTCGATTCGCCCTCGACGACTGTGTAGGTCTGTGTCTGTTCCGACTGATTTTGCAAAGCTGGGAAGTCTGTTAGAATATAATTAATACATAAACACATATGTAAGTAAATTGTAAGGATGAACATTGCCATGTGTTCTGGGGATTATCTATGTCTGTTTAATCCAGTGTTATCTCTAACTGACGTATTGATCATTGAGATTCAAACACGCCTAAACATAAAGTAAGAGTTTATATTTATATCTGAGCCCCTGTATATTCCCTCGGTTCCTAACCTACCTTGACAATCAAAGTGAGTCATAATACATTCATTCTGATTAAGACACATTCTTTCACAAATATTTATTGAGATTTACAGTGAACAGCTGGCGGTGACTGTGAGGGTAGACATAATGACATGGCTCTATCCCACCACACATGATGCGTGTTCCGTGTAATCACCCATATACTCACATTTAGGAACTTCAAGGTACACTTCAAACTGCCGACTATCATTCTGGTTCGGGCTGTTGCTGGCGGTGCATGTATAAGTGCCGCTGTCGTCACGCCAGGCGCTGATCACGTTGAAGACACTGATGAAGCCGTCAGTCGGAGGCTGGTGGACGGCATATCTGTCTGTAAGGTTTTCTTCCTTCATGATGACGTAATCTTTTCTCCAGGTGATGAGGGGTGGAGGAAAGCCATCAACAGAACACACCAGTGTAGCATTGTCGCCACCCGAAATGGTGTAGTTGGTTTTATTTCCGCGTCTGTTTCTAACTGATACCGAGATATTCCCCGGGGGATCTGTAATGTAAGTAGATATGACGGTGTAAATAATAGGAATTGTTTATTTGTAAAGTCGATTGAGAGTTATAGAAAGGTATAGATCGAAAGAATAGTTGATGTGAACGAACAAAACACCTATTTCCAACCGAATCTGAAATATAGAGGAGTGGATTTTTTAATTATCTTTTTCCCTGTGCGACGCTTCCATAGTTAATGAAATATTTGTTCAATATTCTTCGCCCAACTAGGCCACCATTCAACAATATTTACAAGTAAATTTCAAAGTATTGAATGTTGTGTGAATGTTATTTGTTAGAAGTTATGACAAGTAAAGGAATATGAATTCTACTTACAGCTCACTTGGATTTCCAAGGTTCTGTTGTCACGAACAGTGTCATTTCCTTCAATAAGACATGTGTAATTTCCGTGGTCTGCGACTTGGACGTTTCGGAAACGTAGAGATTCATTATTAGCTGTAAATCTGGAATGTTCCAGTTTGACCCAGGACACGGTGTAGTTGGTACTGTTTGTGTGTTCACATGTGACAGAGGTATTAGTTCCAGCCACGATCGTCCATGGGGAGTCCTCCGTCAGAAGAACTTCACCTACAACAAAGATGATGCTCAGTTTCATATTTTCTATTCGTATTTTCGTTTCTGGTCCGGTGTGCGACATTCCCTTGGAATGAAAAAAACAATCCGAAACGTGTCTCTTTCTTATATGATAGTATGTTTTCCAGGAAATACTGGATTTGTTTTGTCTAAGTTTTTAAAAAAATATGCTTGATGGAAGTCTGGATGCCCTGAAATCAAATCGTAGTGAAATATACTGGACAAAAATAGTTAGGGATATATGTAAATTTTGAAGTTATGAATAACGCTCTATTTATTCATTGACACACTGACAAAATATCAATCATAAAAATAGTAAAGTACCAATATCCCTAACTTATTTTGTCCAGTATATATTAAGATATCCAGCTTCTGGTTTCAGTGACCACAATTGTACAGTTTGAAGTTGTGACCGAATATCAGGGAAATGTTTATAGCACGTTTTAGAACACAGACAATTACTGGCGAGAGACATCCTACGCGGAATCGTGAATGGGTGTGATAACTGTACCTCCAGAGCACCCCATAGTTTGGAAACATACGTTCCATAAGACAAGTCTGTGCCGGTGAGTGGGTTAGAGTGTGGTCTGGCGCCACTAGGATTCAGTGACCTCACTCAATATTATGCAAAGATAGGTCAATGAAGAGTACTGACAGTTTGTGAGTTGACGTTTCCTTCAAGACGACAACGTCCTTGGTATCGAATCGCCAGTGCTCACCACCAGTTGCACTTTGGTAGAATGACATGGCAGCAGTTTGCCCGGACCTTTACTACCCGTGAAGATCCGGACTAGAATTGATCTTCAGCAACACATGCTTGTCGTAAGAGGAGACTAACGGGACAGGGTGGTCAGACTCGCTGGCTTGGTTGACACACGTCATCGTATCCCAATTGCGTAGATCGATACCCATGCTGTTGGTCACTTGATTGTCTGGTCCAGACTCAATTATTTACGGACCGCCGTAAAACTGTGTGGCGTAAACTAAACTCACTCACCAGACTTTTACCTGAACACGTATTGGGACATGATAGAGGTACGTGTGTATCAACGCCATTGACCGCCGACCACGTTGACTGAGCTTAGCCAGGTGTTGGAAGAGGAGTAGAACTCACTCCTTTGAATCGCCAAATTTCAACCATCGAGTGAATAAATGTTTAGCCAATAGTGGCGACATTAGGCACTTCTGATTCAAAAACAACTTCGAAAATTCACATGTAACTGCTACCGTCCTGAATTGTCATACCATTAACTGTCATACTTCACTTCCGGTTGTAATGAATCCCAATTGGAACATTATTATCATACAGGTATCACAGAAAATAATATTACTTATAATTTTGCAAATTTATAACCGGGGTTCCTCTACCGTTTTAGAGCATATAATGTATCCAATAAGAATCTGACAAAATATCCCTTACCACTATGCAGTCCGATAAATGCCACAAAGAACACAGAAGCACGACACACTAGCGTCATTGTTACTGCAAGGCTGGGTGTGTTTGAGGCAAATTGTGCTTGGGCGAAAAACAAATACACTTCAAGGAAGTAGTATCAGCTGTTTTTTCACTTCTGAGGTGAATAATAAACAAGACTGACTTGTGTCGAGTTTCTGTCAAAATATTTGATTTCGTTTCGAATTCCCTTGCACTTATGAAACATTACACGGACACAGTACTTCAACATTTAAACGTTTCTAATGTCTTTGTTAGGAGATCCTTCCGTCAACTCGTAATGTTCCTTTCACTTCCAGTTTCCATCGAAAGTGAACATGTGCATAGCAACACATCACCGTAACCTAGACTATCTCATCATGGCATTAAATGGTATCTATACTGACGGTTCTGCCTCTGCATGTGTTTATGATGTGTGCTACAGTACTGCCTCTGCATGTGTTTATAATGTGTGCTACAGTACTGCCTCTGCATGTGTTTATAATGTGTGCTACAGTACTGCCTCTGCATGTGTTTATGATGTGTGCTACAGTACTGCCTCTGCATGTGTTTAGGATGTGTGCTACAGTACTGCCTCTGCATGTGTTTATATGTGTGCTACAGTACTGCCTCTGCTTGTGTTTATGATGTGTGCTACAGTACTGCCTCTGCTTGTGTTTATGATGTGTGCTACAGTACTGCCTCTGCTTGTGTTTAGGATGTGTGCTACAGTACTGCCTCTGCATGTGTTTAGGATGTGTGCTACAGTACTGCCTCTGCATGTGTTTATGATGTGTGCTACAGTACTGCCTCTGCATGTGTTTAGGATGATGTGCCTGCTACAGTACTGCCTCTGCATGTGTTTATGATGTGTGCTACAGTACTGCCTCTGCATGTGTTTAGGATGTGTGCTACAGTACTGCCTCTGCTTGTGTTTAGGATGTGTGTGCTACAGTACTGCCTCTGCATGTGTTTATAATGTGTGCTACAGCTACAATGTACTGCCTCTGCATGTGTTTGTTTATGATGTGTGCTACAGTACTGCCTCTGCTTGTGTTTATGATGTGTGCTACAGTACTGCCTCTGCATGTGTTTATGATGTGTGCTACAGTACTGCCTCTGCTTGTGTTTAGGATGTGTGCTACAGTACCGCCTCTGCATGTGTTTATAATGTGTGCTACAGTACTGCCTCTGCATGTGTTCGTGATGTGTGCTACAGTACTGCCTCTGCTTGTGTTTATGATGTGTGCTACAGTAATGCCTCTGCATGTGTTTATGATGTGTGCTACAGTACTGCCTCTGCATGTGTTTATAATGTGTGCTACAGTACTGCCTCTGCATGTGTTTATAATGTGTGCTACAGTACTGCCTCTGCTTGTGTTTAGGATGTGTGCTACAGTACTGCCTCTGCTTGTGTTTAGGATGTGTGCTACAGTACTGCCTCTGCTTGTGTTTAGGATGTGTGCTACAGTACTGCCTCTGCATGTGTTTATAATGTGTGCCACAGTACTGCCTCTGCATGTGTTCGTGATGTGTGCTACAGTACTGCCTCTGCTTGTGTTTAGGATGTGTGCTACAGTACTGCCTCTGCTTGTGTTTAGGCTGTGTGCTACAGTACTGCCTCTGCATGTGTTTAGGATGTGTGCTACAGTACTGCCTCTGCATGTGTTTATAATGTGTGCCACAGTACTGCCTCTGCATGTGTTCGTGATGTGTGCTACAGTACTGCCTCTGCTTGTGTTTAGGATGTGTGCTACAATACTGCCTCTGCATGTGTTTAGGATGTGTGCTAGAGTACTGCCTCTGCATGTGTTTAGGATGTGTGCTACAGTACTGCCTCTGCATGTGTTTAGGATGTGTGCTACAATACTGCCTCTGCATGTGTTCATGATGTGTGCTACAGTACTGCCTCTGCATGTGTTTATGATGTGTGCTACAATACTGCCTCTGCATGTGTTTAGGATGTGTGCTACAGTACTGCCTCTGCTTGTGTTTAGGATGTGTGCTACAGTACTGCCTCTGCATGTGTTTATAATGTGTGCTACAGTACTGCCTCTGCATGTGTTTGTGATGTGTGCTACAGTACTGCCTCTGCATGTATTTATGATGTGTGCTACAGTAATGCCTCTGCATGTATTTATGACGTGTGCTACAGTACTGCCTCTGCATGTATTTATGATGTGTGCTACAGTACTGCTTCTGCATGTCTTTATGATGTGTGCTACAGTACTGCCTCTGCTTGTGTTTAGGATGTGTGCTACAGCACAGCCTCTGCATGCCTTTAGGATGTGCGCTACAGTGTGAATTGTTTATAATGTGTGCTACAGTACTGCCTCTGCTTGTGTTTAGGATGTGTGCTACAGTACTGCCTCTGCATGTGTTTATAATGTGTGCCACAGTACTGCCTCTGCATGTGTTTAGTGATGTGTGCTACAGTACTGCCTCTGCTTGTGTTTAGGATGTGTGCTACAGTACTGCCTCTGCATGTGTTTATGATGTGTGCTACAGTACTGCCTCTGCATGTGTTTATAATGTGTGCTACAGTACTGCCTCTGCATGTGTTTGTGATGTGTGCTACAGTACTGCCTCTGCATGTGTTTAGGATGTGTGCTACAGTACTGCCTCTGCATGTGTTTAGGATGTGTGCTACAGTACTTCCTCTGCTTGTGTTTATGATGTGTGCTACAGTACTGCCCTCTGCATGTGTTTAGGATGTGTGCTACAATACCGCCTCTGCATGTGTTTAGGATGTTAGAGTACTGCCTGTGTGTTTAGGACTGTGCTACAGTACTGCCTCTGCATGTGTTTATGATGTGTGCTACAATACTGCTCCTGCATGTGTTTATGATGTGTGCTACAATACTGCCTCTGCATGTGTTTAGGGATGTGTGCTACAGTACTGCCTCTGCTTGTGTTTAGGATGTGTGCTACAGTACTGCCTCTGCATGTGTTTATAATGTGTGCTACAGTACTGCCTCTGCATGTGTTCGTGATGTGTGCTACAGTGCCTCCGCATGTACTGCCTCTGCATGTGTTTATGATGTGTGCTACAGTACTGCCTCTGCATGTGTTTATGATGTGTGCTACAGTACTGCCTCTGCATGTGTTTATGATGTGTGCTACAGTACTGCCTCTGCATGTGTTTATGATGTGTGCTACAGCATGTGTTTACTGTGCCTCTGCATGTGTTTATAATGTGTGCTACAATACTGCCTCTGCTTGTGTTTAGGATGTGTGCTACAGTACTGCCTCTGCATGTGTTTATAATGTGTGCTATGTGCTACAGTACTGCCTCTGCATGCCTGTTTGTGTTTTAATGTGTGCTACAGTACTGCCTCTGCATGTGTTTAGGATGTGTGCTACAGTACTGCCTCTGCATGTGTTTATGATGTGTGCTGCATGCCTCTGCATGTGTTTATAATGTGTGCTACAGTACTGCCTCTGCATGTGTTTATGGATGTGTGCTACAGTACTGCCTCTGCATGTGTTTATAATGATGTGTGCTACAGTTTACTGCCTCTGCATGTGTTTTATAATGTGTGCTACAGTACTGCCTCTGCATGTGTTTATGATGTGTGCTACAGTACTGCCTCTGCATGTGTTTAGGATGTGTGCTACAGTACTGCCTCTGCTTGTGTTTAGGATGTGTGCTACAGTACTGCCTCTGCTTGTGTTTAGGATGTGTGCTACAGTACTGCCTCTGCATGTGTTTAGGATGTGTGCTACAGTACTGCCTCTGCATGTGTTTAGGATGTGTGCTACAGTACTGCCTCTGCTTGTGTTTAGGATGTGTGCTACAGTACTGCCTCTGCATGTGTTTAGGATGTGTGCTACAGTACTGCCTCTGCATGTGTTTAGGATGTGTGCTACAGTACTGCCTCTGCATGTGTTTATAATGTGTGCTACAGTACTGCCTCTGCATGTGTTTATAATGTGTGCTACAGTACTGCCTCTGCTTGTGTTTATGACGTGTGCTACAGTACTGCCTCTGCTTGTGTTTATGATGTGTGCTACAGTACTGCCTCTGCATGTGTTTATGATGTGTGCTACAATACTGTCTCGGCTTGTGTTTATGACGTGTGCTACAGTAATTCCTCTGCATGTGTTTATAATGTGTGCTACTGGCCGGACGAAATAAGTTCACCTATTCACGAACATCCTTTGCCATATAAGCATCATTATTGTATCACCTAGGGATTCTGTGTACTTCAAAATAGTATGCCAGGGATATTTCATTCGACCCTATAAAAGTTCGAAAACTATTGATCAAAGAGTTGGGTATAACACCTGCTAGTAAACGCGACGGTATTCAAAACAGTACATTGTCTTTATGATAGATAATGGGAATATAAGCACACAACCTCTAACAATTCTGTGAGGCATTTCCCAACCTTGACCCCTCCAACCTCTGGACTATTTCCAGTATGCCGGACACCTCATGCATGAGATCATTTAAGATCATGAGATATCACAGAATCAACTGGCACCATCACTGGTAGTATCTGGCAGCTGATGTGTGGAAGGGCAACAGGCGCAACAGTATACAGTCAGACACATAGGATGTAAAAACAAGATGAAAAAGGAACCCTACCTTTTGAAAATACAAACTCCACTGTTATTCATACATCTCCATCATATAATGTTTACCTGATTGTCGTTTAATGAAACATTCTGCAATACTTTAGCCACGTTTTGAAGAACACAATAAAATGATGTAAAAAGTGTAAAGCCTTGTTTGCAAATTCACTATCATGCAGTCTTCTTTTGATATAGTGGAGTATGTCTGTGTAGTACTACCGTGTCGATGCACTCTGCTCTCACCGTTCTGCAGACCCTCCAATCAACGAAATGGGACTAGTGCTTGTCTGGACCGGTTATATAGTGCTGTCCACTGATCTATCATGCTGCGGGTAAACACAGTTAGCAGTACACTAGGGTACAGTATACTGATTCTACCAGGTGTTCTTGATACCGGTCATAGCCAGGGTAACAACAATTACCCACTTTTAACGTCTTTGGTATGTCACGCCTGATTTGACCAGCGACCTTCAACTCTCCTGGCAGACGCTGTGTCCACTACATCGAGGGGCCACTGTCAGTATTATACAGAGACGACCTTCTGGGCCACTGTCAGTATTATACAGAGACGACCTTCTGGGCCACTGTCAGTATTATACAGAGACGACCTTCTGGGCCACTGTCAGTATTATACAGAGACGACCTTCTGGGCCACTGTCAGTGTTATACAGAGACGACCTTCTGGGCCACTGTCAGTATTATACAGAGACGACCTTCTGGGCCACTGTCAGTATTATACAGAGACGACCTTCTGGGCCACTGTCAGTATTATACAGAGACGACCTTCTGGGCCACTGTCAGTATCATACAGAGACGACCTTCTGGGCCACTGTCAGTATCATACAGAGACGACCTTCTGGGCCACTGTCAGTATTATACAGAGACGACCTTCTGGGTCACTGTCAGTATTATACAGAGACGACCTTCTGGGCCACTGTCAGTATTGTACAGAGACGACCTTCTGGGCCACTGTCAGTATTATACAGAGACGACCTTCTGGGCCACTGTCAGTATTATACACACACGACCTTATGGGCCACTGTCAGTATCATACAGACACGACCTTCTGGGCAACTGTCAGTATTATACAGAGACGACCTTCTGGGCCACTGTCAGTATCATACAGAGACGACCTTCTGGGCCAGTGTCAGTATTATACAGAGACGACCTTCTGGGCCACAGTATTATACAGAGACGACCTTCTGGGCCACTGTCAGTATTATACAGAGACGACCTTCTGGGCCTTCTGGGCCACTGTCAGTATTATACAGAGACGACCTTCTGGGCCACTGTCAGTATTATACAGAGACGACCTTCTGGGCCACTGTCAGTATTATACAGAGACGACCTTCTGGGCCACTGTCAGTATCATACAGAGACGACCTTCTGGGCCACTGTCAGTATCATACAGAGACGACCTTCTGGGCCACTGTCAGTATCATACAGAGACGGGCCACCTTTCTGGGCCACTGTCAGTATCATACAGAGACGACCTTCTGGGCCACTGTCAGTATTATACAGAGACGACCTTCTGGGCCAGTATCTGTCACGTATGTCATATTATACAGAGACGACCTTCTGGGCCACTGTCAGTATTATACAGAGACGACCTTCTGGTCAGTATTATACCGACCTTCTGGGCCACTGTCAGTATTATACAGAGACGACCTTCTGGGCCACTGTCAGTATTATACAGAGACGACCTTCTGGGCCACTGTCAGTATTATACAGAGACGACCTTCTGGGCCACTGTCAGTATTATACAGAGACGACCTTCTGGGCCACTGTCAGTATTATACAGAGACGACCTTCTGGGCCACTGTCAGTATTATACAGACACGACCTTCTGGGCCACTGTCAGTATTATACAGAGACGACCTTCTGGGCCACTGTCAGTATTATACAGAGACGACCTTCTGGTATTATACACAGCCACTGTGTCAGTATTATACAGAGACGACCTTCTGGGAGACCCTTCTGGGCTGTCAGTATTATACAGAGACGACCTTCTGGGCCACTGTCAGTATTATACAGAGACGACCTTCTGGGCCACTGTCAGTATTATACAGAGACGACCTTCTGGGGGCCACTGTCAGTATTATACAGAGACGACCTTCTGGGCCACTGTCAGTATTATACAGAGACGACCTTCTGGGCCACTGTCAGTATTATACAGAGACGACCTTCTGGGCCACTGTCAGTATTATACAGAGACGACCTTCTGGGCCACTGTCAGTATTATACAGAGACGACCTTCTGGGCCACTGTCAGTATTATACAGAGACGACCTTCTGGGCCACTGTCAGTATTATACAGAGACGACCTTCTGGGCAGAGTATTATACAGAGACGACCTTCTGGGCCACTGTCAGTATTATACAGAGACGACCTTCTGGGCCACTGTCAGTATTATACAGAGACGACCTTCTGGGCCACTGTCAGTATTATACAGACACGACCTTCTGGCATGTCATATACAGAGACGACCTTCTGGGCCACTGTCAGTATTATACAGACAGACGACCTTCTGGGCCACTGTCAGTATTATACAGAGACGACGACTGTCTTCTGGGCCACTGTCAGTATTATACAGAGACGACCTTCTGGGCCACTGTCAGTATTATACAGAGACGACCTTCTGGGCCACTGTCAGTATTATACAGAGACGACCTTCTGGGCCACTGTCAGTATTATACAGAGACGACCCTTCTGGGCCACTGTCAGTATTATACAGAGACGACCTTCTGGGCCACTGTCAGTATTATACAGAGACGACCTTCTGGGCCACTGTCAGTATTATACAGAGACGACCTTCTGGGCCACTGTCAGTATTATACAGAGACGACCTTCTGGGCCACTGTCAGTATTACAGAGACGACCTTCTGGGCCACTGTCAGATTATACAGAGACGACCTTCTGGGCCACTGTCAGTATTATACAGAGACGACCTTCTGGGCCACTGTCAGTATTATACAGAGACGACCTTCTGGGCCACTGTCAGTATTATACAGAGACGACCTTCTGGGCCACTGTCAGTATTATACAGACACGACCTTCTGGGCCACTGTCAGTATTATACAGAGACGACCTTCTGGGCCACTGTCACTGTCAGTATTATACAGAGACGACCTTCTGGGCCACTGTCAGTATCATACAGAGACGACCTTCTGGGCCACTGTCAGTATTATACAGAGACGACCTTCTGGGCCACTGTCAGTATTATACAGACACGACCTTCTGGCCGACAGAGACGACCTTCTGGGCCACTGTCAGTATTATACAGAGACGACCTTCTGGGCCACTGTCAGTATCATACAGACACGACCTTCTGGGCCACTGTCAGTATTATACAGAGACGACCTTCTGGGCCACTGTCAGTATTATACAGAGACGACCTTCTGGGCCACTGTCAGTATTATACAGAGACGACCTTCTGGGCTTCTGGAGCCACTGTCAGTCATTATATAGAGACGACCTTCTGGGCCACTGTCAGTATTATACAGAGACGACCTTCTGGGCCACTGTCAGTATTATACAGAGACGACCTTCTGGGCCACTGTCAGTATTATACAGAGACGACCTTCTGGGCCACTGTCAGTATTATACAGAGACGACCTTCTGGGCCACTGTCAGTATTATACAGAGACGACCTTCTGGGCCACTGTCATTATACAGTATGTATACATTCTGGGCCACTGTCAGTATTATACAGAGACGACCTTCTGGGCCTACTGTCAGTATTATACAGAGACGACCTTCTGGGCCACTGTCAGTATCATACAGTATCATACAGACACGACCTTCTGGGCCACTGTCAGTATTATACAGAGACGACCTTCTGGGCCACTGTCAGTATTATACAGAGACGACCTTCTGGGCCACTGTCAGTATTATACAGAGACGACCTTCTGGGCCACTGCCAGTATTATACAGAGACGACCTTCTGGGCCACTGTCAGTATTATACAGACACGACCTTCTGGGCCACTGTCAGTATTATACAGAGACGACCTTCTGGGCCACTGTCAGTATTATACAGAGACGACCTTCTGGGCCACTGTCGGTATTATACAGACACGACCTTCTGGGCCACTGTCAGTATCATACAGAGACGACCTTCTGGGCCACTGTCAGTATCATACAGACACGACCTTCTGGGCCACTGTCAGTATCATACAGAGACGACCTTCTGGGCCACTGTCAGTATTATACAGACACGACCTTCTGGGCCACTGTCAGTATCATACAGAGACGACCTTCTGGGCCACTGTCAGTATTATACAGACACGACCTTCTGGGCCACTGTCAGTATTATACAGAGCCTTCATTGAATCATACCCGTAAAAATACTGTTGTGAATCATACAGAAATCATCCTGTTCTTTGTCTTCAGCTGTTTTCAGGAGTATATAAGTTAAAACAAACTAAAAATAAGGGTCATGCGGTTTTACTAATTACTTTCGATAATACGAGGAAATTATCACATGTTATGAGGACATTTGAAATTGCTATGACCGAAATCTACATAAAACACTGTTCTTTCTATTTCCCATTTTAACAAAGGCAGCATTTCAGTAGAGACTGTACATTATTTACAATTCGACATAATTACGAATTCTAATGTAAAGACGATATAAATGCGTTAGTATTCGTGTATCTCCAATATTCAAAGCCTCACAATTCAAAGTTGAGAGTATAAGAGGAGTAGAAGAATAAGTCTTACCCAACAAACAATATACACTTATAACATGTAGCATCAATGTGACATGTATATTGAATACATGCGTTACATCCATGTCTCATGGTGTTATACACTTTTCACCCCTATGTTATAGGTGGGACATACCAGTGAAAACCCGTGTTCTATCTATGTCACATCCATGACACATGGAGTTGGTACGTGTCATATCTATGTCACCTCGTGTTGTATCTGTGTCACACCTGTGTCGCATCTACGTCACATCCATATCACCTAGTGTCGCATCTATGTCACACCCATGTCACCTCGTGTTATATCTATGTCACATCCATATCACCTCGTGTTATATCTGTCATATCCATATCACCTCGTGTTATATCTATGTCACATCCATGTCACATCGTGTTGTATCTATGTCACATCCATATCACCTCGTGTTGTATCTATGTCACATCCATGTCACCTCGTGTTGTATCTACGTCACATCCATGTTACCTAGTGTCGCATCTGTCACATCCATGTCACATCGTGTTGTATCTATGTCACATCCATATCACCTCGTGTTGTATCTATGTCACATCCATGTCACCTCGTGTTGTATCTATGTCACATCCATGTTACCTAGTGTCGCATCTGTCACATCCATGTCACCTCGTGTTGTATCTATGTCACACTCATGTCACCTTGTGTTGTATCTATGTCACATCCATGTCACCTCGTGTTGCATCTATGTCACACTCATTTCACCCCTTGTTGTATCTATGTCACATCCATATAACCTCGTGTTGTATCTGTCACACTCGTGTCACCTTGTGTTGTATCTATGTCATATCCATGTCACCTCGTGTTGTATCTATGTGTCACTTCCATGTCACCTCGTGTTCTATCTATGTCACATCCATGTCACATCGTGTTCTATCTATGTCACATCCATATCACCTCGTGTTGTATCTATGTCACATCCATGTCACCTCGTGTTGTATCTACGTCACATCCATGTTACCTAGTATCGCATCTATGTCACATCCATGTCACCTCGTATTGTATCTATGTCACACCCATGTCACCTCGTGTTGTATCTATGTCACATCCATGTCACCTCATGTTGCATCTATGTCACACTCATGTCACCCCTTGTTGTATCTATGTCACATCCATGTAACCTCGTGTTGTATCTGTCACACTCATGTCACCTCGTGTTGTATCTATGTCACATCCATGTCACCTAGTGTTGTATCTATGTCACATCCATATCACCTCGTGTTATATCTATGTCACATCCATGTCACATCGTGTTTATCTATGTCACATCCATATCACCTCGTGTTGTATCTATGTCACATCCATGTCACCTCGTGTTGTATCTACGTCACATCCATGTTACCTAGTATCGCATCTATGTCACATCCATGTCACCTCGTATTGTATCTATGTCACATCCATGTCACCTCGTGTTGCATCTATGTCACACTCATTTCACCCCTTGTTGTATCTATGTCACATCCATGTCACATCGTGTTCTATCTATGCCACATCCATATCACCTCGTGTTGTATCTATGTCACATCCATGTCACCTCATGTTGTATCTATGTCACATCCATGTCACCTCATGTTTAATCTATGTCACATCCATGTCACCTCGTGTTGCATCTGTGTCACACTCATGTCACCTTGTGTTGTATCTATGTCACATCCATGTCACCTCATGTTGCATCTATGTCACACTCATGTCACCCCTTATTGTATCTATGTCACATCCATGTAACCTCGTGTTGTATCTGTCACACTCATGTCACCTCGTGTTGTATCTATGTCACATCCATGTCACCTAGTGTTGTATCTATGTCACACCCATATCACCTAGTGTTGTATCTATGTTACACCCATGTCACCTAGTGTTGTATCTATGTCATATCCATGTCACCTCGTGTTGTATCTATGTTACACCCATGTCACCTAGTGTTGTATCTATGTCATATCCATGTCACCTCGTGTTGTATCTATGTCACACCCATGTCACCTTGTGTTGTATCTATGTCACACCCATGTCACCTAGTGTTGTATCTATGTCATATCCATGTCACCTCGTGTTGTATCTATGTCATATCCATGTCACCTCGTGTTATATCTATGTCATATCCATGTCACCTTGTGTTGTATCTATGTCATATCCATGTCACCCCGAGTTGCATCCATACCACTTCCATGTCAAATGGTGTTATCTGCATGCCACGTCCATAGGCAGACATCTATCAGATATATATGTCACATGCAGAGCACGTCAGTTTCACATTTGTCGTGTATACATGTCACGTCTGTCACATCCATGCCATACCATTGTTAGGTACACGTCACATCCATGTCACACCAGTGTTGGATAGACGTCACATCCATGTCACACCAATGTTGGATACACGTCACATCCATGTCACGCCATTGTTGGATACACGTCACATCCATGTCATTACACCAGTGTTGGATACACGTCACATCCATGTCACACCAGTGTTGGATACATGTCACATCCATGTCAAACCAGTGTTGGATACATGTCACATCCATGTCAAACCAATGTTGGATACACGTCACATCCATGTCACACCAGTGTTGGATACACGTCACATCCATGTCACACCAGTGTTGGATACATGTCACATCCATGTCACACCAGTGTTGGATACATGTCACATCCATGTCACACGAGTTTTTGATACATGTCACATCTGTCACACGAGTTTTGGATACATGTCACATCCATGTCACACCAGTGTTGGATACATGTCACATCCATGTCATACGTGTGTTTCACGAGGGATGCTGCTGTTGATGGAGTTGCATGGGTAGTTCCAGTAGATCCTGTTCCCGGCAACAGGGGGCGACATCGGCGGGAAAATGTCATCCAGAACACGGAATAAGCTATGATCTTGCACGGGATCCCCTGCACGGTCTGTCCGTCGGTAACCTGCAAGTATTTGGTGACTTATACTCAACTGACTATATCTCCCTGTCCTTCACACATCACACCAGCTGGGGATCATGGTGACTTATACTCAACTGACTCCATCTCCCTGTCCTTCACACATCACACCAGCTGGGGATCATGGTGACTTATACTCAACTGACTCCATCTCCCTGTCCTTCACACATCACACCAGCTGGGGATCATGTTTTCTCAGTTCGGAAAACGTCAAATACAAACATTGCTACCTTTTACCAATGAAAATAACTGCGTCTTGGCCAGTGAAGCTATTTGTAAATTCTGCGAGTGACGTCATACCCGTAAAGATCTAATAAATAGCACCCTATGCCTGCCGTTGGAGGCGACTAACGTGATCGGGTTGACAAGGTCGAGGCATGCCATCTTAATCCAACCCCGTAGATCATGTCAATTGGTGTTCTGAGAATCACGCCATTACAGAGCACCGCCATAAAGCTGGGATATTTCTAAATGCGGTGTCGAACAGACACAATAGAAATAACAGACGACATTAACTGTCTGCTGTCTTCTGTTAGGTTCTCGTGACAAAGATTTTGCAAAATGGCGTGAAAACGCTTACACTTAACCGCGATGATGACAACGACAGCAATGACACCAGCTGCCAGCGCTACGCATCCACCGACGATGTAGGACTTGTACATACATACTGGAAAGAAAAGACACAAAGTCAGTTACGTTAGTCCGGAGGGCGGAAGGTGGTCGATCCGATCCCAATACAAAACGACGCTCAGGCATGGCGCTTGTTGTTCCCCTGCCTATCTACGACGATAAGTATCTGATCGGTTCGAGTCGTTATACTGCGTCTGAGTGCCCAAAAGAACACCAAATTCACACCGGTGAAGCCAGATATTGTTTTCTCTCTCCTACTCAATACTTACCTGCGCCTGCACAATCCTCCACCTCCGAACCTGTTTCTGAAAAACGAAAACACCCAAGATAAATAGAGAATTATTTCGGCTTTTTGAGTCAAAGTAAACAAAGTGTAACTGACTGGACCAGGCAAACTTCTGTGTGAGATTCGACCTTGGTCAAAGAGTACATATTGCTACAAATCGTCCAGACCACAACTGAGTGGCGTCCGTGGTTATCTAAATATTATATCTAAATATCTGACATGTCATCGTATCCCAATTGTTTAGATTGATGCTCATGTTGCTGATCACTGGATTGTCTAGTCCAGACTCGATTATTTACAGGCCGCCGTCATATAGCTGGAATATTGATGAGTGCGGCGTTAAACAACAAACAAGCAAATATGTATGATAAAGCAGGTACAAAAATCCAGACAAGCTTATATACACATAAACCAACCGATGAAGTCCTGTAAGGGCTCTGCCTACAGAATAAGTCTGAACGTAGTGTCCAACATATTTTATTTATTTATTTTTAGCTCCCTGTAATAAAAAACTCACCAGATTGGTTAGTTAAAACGGTCTTGTCGACACGTATTGTGTAGGTCACAGTAAGGTTAGGTTCATGACCGTTGGCCAGTGTGACTCCGTAAAGTCCAGTCTCGGTCACATTATAATGACTTATTGCAATGTATCGAGCGTTTCCACCCAGGGCTGTTTCATTCAAGCTGTGATCAGCATCACCCTCGTTCAGAATCTCCCTGCTTGTGTCTTCTCCAGTCCGCCACCAGGCTATAACACTGGACAAAGGGTTGGACAGCACCGTGAAGCTGACCAACACAGTGCCACCTCTCTGTACCGACCAGGTCCGTGTCTGTCTGGCTGCATCCTGCACTTTAGGTGCACCTGTACCCGACAACAAATATTAAATTAGAACTTAATCTGTGTAATTAATCATTATTGGCAACCCTTAGAGCAATAGGTATGGCTTACAGAGGCCTTAATTCAGAAATTAACCGAAAGAGCAATAATTACTGAAATCATTAAACAAACCCTTGGACGTTTATCAGTAGTCGACATCGACAGGTAGGTCCTTTGTTTATTTGTCTAAATAGTGGTGACTCCTACGTTTGACTTCAATTAAAATCAATAAGTTGGGTCTAACAAATCTCTGCTGATCGTCCATTGTACGATTTCTATTACATCATAAGCATGTGTTTACGAATAACTTTAAAATGTGAATGTATCCTGCCCAATCCGTGGCTGTCGTCACAAACATACGAACAGATAAATCATCTGGCTAGTTATTCTCGAAACGTCCGTAGCCCTACGAACTTCTTAAGCCCATTCTTAACACATTGGCTTCAATCAAAGTTAAGAATTCTTAGGGCTACGAACGGTTCGAGTATAAGGGCCCTGTTCGACTTCAAAAACAACTGGAACAATTTCGGAAATGACATCTTCGTACAAAGGACACACTCAGTTGGACCTCAAACGTTGTGACATGCAGACATGTTTTCTAATGGTTTATGACTTACATTCAACTTCTAACATGATGTATTTCTCGATTGGTGCAGTATCCATGACGCCGTTGCCAGCCTGGCAGACGTATGTACCTTCATCTTCACATCCGGCGTCAGTCACGTCATAGGAAGTCAGGAAACTCTTCCCGGGGTGTTGATGAAGACCATACTTCTGGGTGAGGTTAACAGTTTTAACAGCGCCGCCATCTTTGTGCCACTTGACGAGTGGAGGGGGGAATCCGTCTACAGAGCATGACAGACTAACGTTGGCACCTTCCCTGGTTTTGTAATGAGACTTTGAGTAGGGAGGGGTGTTGACTGACAGAGATATATTTTCAGTGGGATCTGAAACAAATGTTAATTGATTATTAATAACTAAATCATTTTGCTCGGAGGTGTTGCAGAGGTTGTAATCACGGCCTAGTTTCCCTGCTTGTCTGGAGCCCTATGGATGCCAGGGCACGTACACAACTTCAGTCGCCATTGTAAAACGGAAACTGGATTTGTAGGTACAAGTGTTAACAATGACCATATAACTCACAGTTAACCAAGATTTCCAACGTTCCATTGTTCCACTGACCACCTTTACTGTCTTCTACGGTACATGTGTAATTCCCGCGGTCGGTCTTTCTAACTGGATTTAGAAACAGTGTTTCATTTGCCAGATGGAAAGTGGGGTCCCCATCTTTTTTCCAGGTCACGTGACATGATTGACATCGACGTGAAGAGCAGTTGGCGGCAGCTCTTGTACCAGAGTCGAGCGTCCATGAGGTACCCCGCATCAGTGATACAGCAGCTGGAACATCATCAAAGACAGATCTATGTTCATAGGTTACTTTGGGAAGAGATTCTGATATACACCTTACCTTAACAGCCCGGGCCTTCTTTACAGCTGTAAAATTTACGAATTTATGAGTCTAGACAGTATTAATTTATAGACAAGAATTATGAAAATATATTTCATTCACCAGAAGAAAATCAGTACCTCGACTTGATTCGAAGATCATGAACACCAACACTACATTGCAATGTCCCAGCGCCATCTTGAACCCGACTGAATTTCGAGGAAAACATCAGTTAAAATTTTGTTTCGATTTATCATTGAAGTATTAAATTTTAATTAAATAGTCCCAAGGTCGACAGGAAGGATCACATATGTTTCCGCATGTTTTCACATTTCATATTCCTAATTGACAAATTGCAAGCATCGAACGTGGCACATTAAGTATGCATTCGACGCTCCTCAATTTCCGGAAACATCTGGTATCGTTGCTATGCACGGTGATTCCCAAACATACTTATGATACACTTTGAAGAGTATAACTACCTATAGTGTGTTTGTTATAAATACGGAAACAGGCCCCGTTAATGTTTCTGAACATATGCAAACTCGTTTGATGGGTGTTTCGACTACTTTTGTCAAATATACATGTAATACGTGGTTTTGCAGGAAACATATCGGATCCCTTCCTGTGATGTTGTTTCATGTGCCTTGAGCGTTCAGCTATGAGATCACGCACTCTTACTCAGGTCGATCTTCAACTGGTCTGCACTGACCATCTATAGTCATGACAGCTTTTCTTTCAGTTTCATTTGACAAAGTGACGCTTCAGTAACTCTGAATCAGAAAACTGCCATGTCTGTGGTGGAGGGTGATGTTACCCAGTACAGGGGTACAACGTCAGAAGCAGGTCACGTGCTACTTTCTCTACGCATGTTAGTCAGACAACAGTTTCAAATATCGTCAACAGTGTCCATACATCCTTTTCGAAACTATTTATTTAAAATTTTTTTGACACACTACTTTCGAACTCATGTTTCATATTGACATTTTAGAGGAAACAAAGATTTACTAAGCTTGTCACATTTCCCGGTCTTACAAAAGTCTTGACAAATGTTTTAGCTTTCGTCAAGTGTGCGCAGTGTAAGTGCGAGTGCGGTGTGCGGAGTGCGTGTGGTTCCATTGACCTGTCCCGTTAAGTAGGAATGCTTGAAAGAATGAATGAATGAATGAATGAATGAATAAATGAAAATAACGTAAAATTCTAGAAGAATGAAATCCAACTTTATTTCTTTAACATGTTCAGTACCGAGAAAACATATACATCTGTGGCCACAAAACGCCTTTTGTCTGTAACACTACTTTACGGACTGTTCCTAAGATGAAAAGTGAAACTGTGAAGGGAACGCGAAACATGAACATCTAAAACCCACATTATTACAACAAGTTTGCATGGATGAAATATTTCCTTACTATTATATACATAACTGAGCTCAAAACAATTTCTTTTACGTAGACGATGTATGGCCATGTTTGCATTCAGCTGTGGGGCTGTGGGGGCATGAGTGCATAATGACATTATCGAAACTTCCGTCAGCCTGATTGGTAGTCACCAGTGTCGCTGGTCTGACGATGGGGTGAACGTAGTAGTCTCCCGTTACGGGGAAGTGAAGTAAATGCAGGACGCTTGTCCACTTCATCGTATACGACTGCATCTGCCTTCACAGACACAGGCAGCGATTGTAAATGTCCTGTAAATGAGGATTGAATTTTTTCAACAAATATATATAATGCTAAATTGCAAAATACTTCTGTGTATCTAGCACCGACAGAATATACATGTCGTTTTCCTAATTTGTTCATAAGGTTTCCTGAAATTCAAACGTTCCGATGTACGTACCATTTTGATAATCTCTTGTAGGAGCCTTTGTTCCGTGGACACCTGAGAACAAGGGAAAGCATACGTCACGACTCATATATACCATATATGACAATGTCCAGTTTAGCCTTGTTACTTCACCCTGATTGATAGAAGGGGTGGAGTGTACACATCTATATCTACACTTGTTTATATGATAGATTGCACCGACTACATGGCGAAAGTCGAACACACGTCCTCAAATACCTGTCCTTTAGCGTTACGCTATCAATGGTGTTATTGTACCGAATACATTCAATACACTTACCCGTGAAGGTCCGGGTTAGAATTTATCTTAGTACTGACTGACTGAGTTTAGTTTTACGCCGCTTTTAGCAATATTCCAGCAATATCACGGCGGGGGACACCAGAAATGGGCTTAACACATTGTGCCCATGTGGGGAATCGATCCCGGTCTTCGGCGTGACGAGCCTACGCTTTAACCACTAGGCTACCCCATTGCCCCATTTATCTTAGTAACCCATGCTTGTCGTAACAGCCGACTAACGGGATCGGGTGGTCAGGCTCGCTGACTTGGTTGACACATGTCATCTATTCCAATTACGTAGATCGATGCTCATTATGTTGATCACTGGATTGTCTGGTCAAGACTCGATTATTTACATACTGCCGCAATATAAATGGAATATTGCCGAGTGCGGCGTAAAACTAAACTCGCTCACTCACTCCAATATACTTGGTGTTACATTTCCGACATGTAAACAGGTTTGGGATAGACAAAACAGTGCTTGATATTTCTAGCAACGTCGGTAGTTTTCAGGACAGACTCTGTTAGTACGAGTCATGATAATGAAGATGTCTTGAAGACGCTCCCTGATTTCTCCGGTATCTTTAACTGAAATCGTGACAATTGTTGTGGAAAATGAAAGCTATATGTTCTCAAAATCTACTGTCATTTAATTTTGTCTCCTGCTTTGCCTAGTTTCCGAGTTACAACTTGTTTTCATAGACGATTCTGTCAAAATCGATTGGTGTCGTTAGGCCCTATTTGTATAATGACTGATCCAAATCGATCCCATTTCTGTGTTTTTTTACCTCGATATTTAATCATGTCATGTACAAATCTGTTTGTATTCTCAAAACAGTGTCGGCCCATAAGTTTTCACATGCAATACAGCAATTAATACTCCCTTGTTGTAACCCGTGTTAGGTGGTATAAACCTACCCATGTTATTTGTTATCATTCACTTGATGGTCAGTTAATGAATTTATAACAGGTATAATTAGTGGTAACACACTTAGATTACTCGACAAAGGTTCCCATTTGTCATTTCTTGTGTCTGGAGTAAATATTCAACATTATAAACATCGATCAAAGGATTAACCGATAACACGCTGATTGATTAATTACTTTGATCTTACACAGCGGAATTGTCAAAAGGTAGTGTTTATGTATGTAGATTTACTAATCTATACTGAATACACTCTGTCGTGTCGGTGTCTGCGTAAAAACAACGTCCTTCTTTCAAAGGATTAACCGGCAATACATTGATTGATTGCCCATTATTGGCTAACTAAATTACTGTTTTTAAAGAAAGGCGGACATTATGCAATTAGTTGCCAGGTGTGCTATCTTGGGTGACCAATGAGACTATACACCAATACCTGAAAAGATTTATCACTTTTTCGTATATTAAACTGTTAAAAGACACATCATTTGGAACAGTTTTGTGGATATTGTTCCTATAACTTTAATCTGTTTTAATTTTAATATTTGCAATTTGATTTTATTCATTTGTCGTAGCATTCAACAGAATCATTGTTTTCGCCGTGAAGTGTAATGAGTCAGACAACATGCACTAGGGTGTGTGTGCGAATTATGATTCACACTGGCAAACTATAAAATGTCTAGATATTACAGTTCTGTTATAAATTCACTATAAGTATCAGCAGATCGTCTGCTTTTTATTTAGTTTCAAAATGCATACAAGTATGATAATAAACTAATTAGGATTATAAGACCAAATATAAAGACGCACATTGACTAGTATCTACATACTGGTGAGTGGACATTAACCATGGGAATGTAGCAAGAAATTTATCGCGCAGTATTGTGACTTCGACCCCCACCGGTTCACACCCATAACCCCTACATGCCACTACCCCTACACTCCAGTACCCCTACAGCTAGTTAAAACAACACCTAGCATTTACCTGTCTGATATAATAGACTAATCCTAAAGAGGGATTAGTGCATGGAGCATAGATGAGATCAAGGGATGCATAAATGTGATTAGTCTTTTGTGGCAAGGAAATTAGTGGTCTCATGATGAAAACAAACCTCAACCCTGAGTAGAAGAAACATACAATTGGAAAAGTGTTGTGATTGCTAAATGTTGTTAAGAAAAGTTGTTATAGTGCACATTAATGTTACATATATTACAATGTTGAGAAGTTGAGAGAAATAAAACGTGGAGATGATACAGGAACCACAACTTGACAGCTGGGCCGAGGACAAACAACAACCTGGAAGGATTCCACAACCGTCTGAATCGAGAAATTCCACACAGGCACCCGAACATCTACAGATTTGTAGAAGTCATCAGGAGAGTCGAACACGCCGAGAGAGTGAGGATTGCTCAGATTGACTTTGGTGCTGCGCCAACAAACAGAAAACGAGTGTACAGAGAGATCGACAACCGTCTGTGCAGACTCAAGGAACAGCTTCAGCGTGGACAGAAATCCCCTCTTCAGTTTCTTGACGCAGGCGGCTACCTGCTCAAGCTTGGATAGACTGTAACACTGACACTTGAACACTTGTGATAATGTAATAATGTGGTCTTTCTCTCATCCTGATATGTTGATATGAAACACTTGTGATAATGTGATCTTTTGTTCATCCTTATATGATGATATGAAAACACTGAATGTAAATAGACTGAAAAACTTGACAATTGATCTCAATGATGTGGTACTTTGTGATAACACATGTATTAAAGTCACTTTTAAAATCTGTCTTGTGTCATGTTGTGCATCTTAAGTGGACCAGTCCACTGTATGGAATAGGTAACAGGCAGGAGATTAGTTATGCAACAGACCATAAACTATGTTGTTATAAGCTGTAGGGGTAGTGGCATGTAGGGGTAATGGGAGGGTACCCCCCCACCTCGCTTCCGTGGAAGAAATCGTTATGTTATAAGTTGTGTCATGCAAAATCCGTTTGGTTATGATTCCAATACATATTTAACTACGAGTAGAAAGTAGTTAGCTAACTTGATGAAAACAAACTATAATCTCATTAATTCTAACAGAATTTTATATTTTTAAAAATGGCGGCGCCCTGTCGGGAACATCCGCCAGTCTGAGGATAAATGGTATTTAGGTTTGTTTTCACCGAGTTACAAAATCAAAACTACTTTCTACTGGTAGTAAAATATGTATTTTATTGATGGCCAATAGGATTTTGCATGACAAAGCGTATAACATAACAATTTCTCTCGTGGCAGCGAGGTGGGTGTAAATGTAATACTACTTACAATATTATTGTTACTTCGACCACAACCTCACTTCCGAGGAAGAAATCGTTATGTTACAAGTTGTGTCATAGAAAATCTTTATGGTCATCAATCATATGCATATTTTACAACAACTAGTAAGTAATTTTGATTCTTTAACTTCAGTGAAGCGATCTGAACACAAGTAAGATATCGTTTCAGGCTTCCACAACGCTCGCTTCGCACTCACAAACATAACCGATTTAGCACGAACTGTGGGGTCCTGTGGAAATCTGTGCATGGGGACACCACCGCCCGACCCCTCGGAGCAATTGACGACAAAGCAACGATTCGGCATGTCATCGTTGATGTCGAGAAATCATCAAAATGATGAGCGTGCTACACATTTTCTATACAACTAACTGAAAATCGTTCCTCATATGACGTCACTGCAGTGCTCTGGCGACAGAGTTACGTAACCTGTCTGTGGATTCGTTGGCGGGCGAGAGGGGAAGCAGGCGACTTTTTGGCCACTTTTAATCGCTCGGTATTAATTAACCACAAGTTTTTAAAGAATAAATTTGGTGTTCCGCATAAGACTAACCACAAATCTTTCATATGTAATGGTTAAAAGAGTAACAAAAAACAAAGTTTAGTGGTTCTTTAACGAGGATACAGGGGGTGACGTGAAGAAACCTACCCTTAACTACGCTGATGACGCCAGCAATGAGAGCAGCTACCAGGACTACGCATCCACATATCAGGAAGGACATGTACACACGTGCTGGGAAGGAAAAACAGCATTATTAAATTCAAATCTGATTGGTTGGTGTGTTTAAAACTGCAGGCAACAGTTTTCCAGGAACGTCACAGAGAAACAAGTGGTTGATAATATGAACAAAGTTCAATGCCTTCGCTGTGCGATTACACGCAGTCAACCGACCCACTGCTCAAGTCAAATAAAATAGTAATGGGGACTTATTCAAAGCCGGTTAACGCGGAGTTGGGGTATGGTGAACAAACTGAACGTTACCCTTTACCCGCCTCCCTGCTGTTACTGTCTGTCCTTGCATGTGATTTCGTAGTGATAGTGGCGATTAAAGCGCTATGAAGAGTCGACAAAGTCCGCGCTCGATGCTTTCGAATCCCCGATTCATCCTGACCATACCCTCGGTCTGTGTTCATCCGGTACCTATTTATCCGTATTTCAATAGTGGTGAAAATACACGGCCTAAGTCACGGAAGGTGTTCCTGACAGCTGACAGACCATGATGTGACTAAAATACTGTACAAAGCAGCATTCATCTCTTACATTCGCATCACAGGCCCTCGTGTCTCTGCGAAGATTAAAGATTTTAAAAAATATTTTTGAGATGACCCCCGACTCGAAATGCTACACAGTACACATACACTATGTCATAATGTATTGTACTGTGGATTAAACCAGAGAATGTATTGATCCGTAAAAGCCTTCGAATCCGTTTCTGATAAGCAGATATACAAAAAGTAAACTAGGAGTTATTTTGGGTTTTGAGTCATAGTCAAGCAAAATAAACTGTAAAATGAACCTAGAGCAGGCAAACCGCTTTTTGAGTTGAGTTGCGCTTTACGTCACTTCGGCATTATTTCAGCCATAAAGTGACGACAACAAGTCTGCATTAATAAACATTGTAAGTACAGAGTCAAAATGAGTTATATTTCAAAAACATATATTCATTACATTGTCATTTAATGACAGAAAAAGGCATAGCACTAAATTTAAAGGCAGGCAATTTGTTAGTAACATTACACAGTTACAATTTATGATACAGATCAACTACCTTCAGGTAGTTCACTATCAGATGATCGCTCACGCGGGAGAACAGATCTTTCAGATTTGTTGCATCATAGTGTGAGTCCCTTGCAGACGATAAGTCCAAACAGGCAAGCAGAATATGCTTGATGGTGAAAACCTCATCGCAAGAGACACACATGGGGGGTCCATCCCCATCCGTTTTCAGCAGATAGTCATGTGTAAACTGACTGTGGCCAATACGACATCGTCGTAAAATTACCTCATCACGTCTTGACTGACAACCCAAGTAGGTATAACCAATTGTTGGCTTCAGTTCATACAGTTTATTTCTTCCTACTTGAGTGTCTCACCTCTTTTGCATGAGGTCCCGAGTATGAAATAGTGGGTTTGAAATCACTGTACGGGATCAGCAGTGTAGATAAGGGCTTGTCAAGAGCTGCAGCATCGGCTTTTGTGTTACCTGCTATGCCGACGTGACCCGGCAACCAGCAGAGCACGATGTCAAATTGGCCAGTAAAAAGCTCGTTGTAAAGTTCTAAAATGTCCACAATGATTGGGTGACTTGAAGTAACATTTTGAAGTGCTTGAAGGCAAGATAATGAATCTGTAAAAACGATGAAGTTTTTGGAAAGATTTTGCTGTTTAATGTAGGTCAAAGCTGAGAAGATAGCTTTGGCCTCGGCAGTGAAAATGGAACTGTTGTCGGGAATCCTAGAGGAGACAGTCTTGGATCCAATGACTGTAGCACTGGCAACTTGGCCCTCATCCTTGGTTCCGTCTGTGAAAATGGATCTATGGGTGTCATACTTGGAACGTAACTGGTTGTATTCCTGCTGGAACACCAAAGAATTTGTTTCGGACCTTTTGAGTTTAGTGAGGGTAAGGTCGACCTGTGGTTTCACCATCTGCCAGGGTGGCGAAGACAGGAGTCGGTAAGGTGCTATGATACTGAGAATAAATTTAGCTGCAGATATGTGTGGTTGAATTCTGATTCCAAGTGGTGGAACCAGGCTTGGCAGTTTGGGAAACAGGTTTTCATAGAGAGGGTTGAAAACACAATTGTATGCTGGATTGGACTGTTTTGAGCGAAATTTAGTGATATACTGTAGTGAAAGTTTAATGCGGCGTTGTTCAAGGGAAGGTTCGTTAGCCTCTGCATATAGACTGTCTACCGGAGAGGTCCTAAAAGCTCCCAGGCAGAGCCTTAGGCCTTGGTGGTGGATAGAATCTAATTTTTCTAAATTTCTTTTGCAGGCTCCACCATAAACAATGGAGCCGTATTCTAGTTTAGAGCAAACCAAAGATCTGTACAAGTGGAGGAGGGTTGTCTTATCCCTTCCCCACTCTGTATTTGAAACGACTTTTAGTAAGTCCAGACCCTTCAAGCACTTGGTTTTCAAATATTTTATGTGTGGTAAGAATGTCAGGTGACGGTCGAATATGAGTCCCAGGAATTTGGCCTCTTCTACTACATTGATGGGAGTACCATCTAAACACAGGTCTGGATCCTTGTGTGGTTTGTATTTACGACAAAAGTGAATACAATTTGTTTTGGATTTTGAAAACTTAAAGACATTTTCATTGGCACATTTTTGGATTTTGTTAAGACAGAGTTGTAGCTGCCTTTCTATTGCGTGCATGTTCTTACCACGACATGAAATATTGAAATCATCCTCGAAAAGTGACCCATCAACACAACTATTCAAGACGTTAGTGAGGCTGTTAATTTTGATGCTAAAAAGGGTGACAGACAGGATGCTGCCTTGAGGGACGCCCTGCTCTTGGTGGAAATAATCTGACAATGTGGAACCTACCCGTACTTGAAATTGTCTGTTGTATAAAAACGAAATGAACTGAGGTAATCTGCCCCTCAATCCAAATTCATTTAAATCTTTTAAGATACCATGTTTCCACGTTGTATGGTATCCTTTTTCTTAATCGAAAAAGATAGATACTGTATGCTGTTTGTTGACAATGGAATTTTCTTATAAAAGATTCCAGACGCTCCAGATGATCAATGGTACTTCGGTTCTTTCGGAAACCACACCAAGTTCTCAAGTCCGGAATCTTGGTGTAGTATTTGACTCATCTCTCTGCATGGAACCACATGTCAACGGTGTTTGTCGCAGCGCTTATTTCCATTTTCGGAATATCGGCCTGATACGCAGGTACCTTGACGAGAAAACAACGAGTGCTCTGGTGCAGGCGTATGTAACATCACGCATTGATTACTGCAACTTGTTGCTCAGTGGTATTCCAAATCATGTACTACACAAACTACAGAGAGTCCAGAATTCAGCCGCAAGATTGATCAGCAGAACAAAGAAAATTGACCACATTACCCCTGCCATGAAAAATCTCCATTGGCTCCCAATCAAATTCAGAATCCAATACAAAGTATTGCTTCTTGTTTTTAAATGCATCCACGGACTGGTTCCAGAGTATCTTTCACAACTTGTAAAACACTATGTGCCAACCCGATCTCTTCGCTCCAGTGACCAATCTCTTCTGCAAATTCAATGTACAAGAACAAAGTCTTTTGGTGACCGAGCATTCTCTTCAAATGGTGCAAAACTCTGGAAAAATCTACCACAAGAACTTCGATCACTGACTGAACTTGCATCTTTTAAAAGCCAGTTAAAGACTCATCTTTTTACCAAAGCTTACCTTTAGCTCCAGCGTGGACTCAGAGCGCCTTTGAGCGATTACATCGGATTCTGGCGCTATAGAAGTATTTGTATGTATGTATGTATTGGAGGTCACATTATTGGTCTCCAAGTACCAGATTAATCGATTGTTGATCATGCGCTCCATGGTTTTACAAACACAGCTAGTTAGTGATATATGACGGTAGTTTGAGGGATCAGTATGATCCCGGCCAGGGTTTGGTATAGGGATGATAATGGCATTGTGCCACGAAGGAGGAAAGTTACCGGTGTTCCAAATGTCATCAAATTTATTGAGTAGTGTTTCCAAACTTGAATCAGGGAGGTGTTTGAGGAGCTGATAATGAATATCATCAGCTCCTGCCGCAGTGTCGTGAGCCTGCCCCATGGCAGTGCGTAATTCATGGAGAGAAAACGTTTCATTGTAATCCTCACCATTATCAGAGTTAAAATTGACTGATTTCTTTTCTTGATGCGTTTGGTATTTCTGCAACTTGGGGTTATAATTTGTGGATGAGGAGAGGTTTGCCAAAGTTTTGCCAAGTTTATTTGCAATTACAAATTTATTTGTTAAAAGAGAGTCACCATCTTTGAGATGGCAAACACCAGATTTGGATCCTTTGCCCTTAATCTTTTGAATCATGTGCACACGTTGGACATGGGTGTGCGGGAGTTGATTTTGGACACATATTTCCTCCACGACCGGCGTTGAGTTTGTTTAAATGTACGTCTTGCCCTGGCATTTGTCGTTTTAACGGCCTTCAGGTTATGCACAGTAGGATGTTGTTGGAAGTATTTTTCCGCCTTCTTCTTATTTTTCCTAGCTTGTTTGTATCAAACCATGGTTTGCGTATGTGCGGGTTTGCAGAGGACTTAGGATTGGTTTCGTCTCCAATAGTATTTAAGATATCGAAAAATAGTTCCATGGGATCAGGAACATTCCTGAAGTTGTCTGGTATAAGATTTTCAGAGCAGAGAGTTTGGCATAATGGCCAATTGGCCTTAGTAAAATTCCATCTTGTTGAAGGTGTTTGAGCAGCTGATAATGAATATCATCAGCTCCTGCTGCAGTGTCGTGAGCCTGCCCCAGGGCAGTGCGTAATTCATGGAGAGAAAACGTTTCATTGTAATCCTCACCATTATCAGAGTTAAAATTGACTGATTTCTTTTCTTGTTGCGTTTGGTATTTCTGCAACTTGGGGTTATAATTTGTGGATGAGGAGAGGTTTGCCAAAGTTTTGCCAAGTTTATTTGCAATTACAAATTTATTTGTTAAAAGAGAGTCACCATCTTTGAGATGGCGAACACCAGATTTGGATCCTT